GCAATATTGAACCAGTGTTGAAGCAGCTTGTCACCGCTTGTCACCGGAGGATTCGAGCCCCGGAACGCTGCAAATCGCAGGCTTGGCCACTGAGCCAATGGATAAGGAGCTGGGCGCTTTTGGCTGGAAAAAGCAGCTTGTCACCGCTTGTCACCGCTTGTCACCGGTATGTCACCGGTATGTCACCGCCGGGATTCGAGGCGCCGTAAGCTGGGTCTCCCACGGTCCCCGTGACACAAGCTATCGTAATCTTCCAAGCTGGGCAACCCCACGGCCTTGTCGATCTTACCCCGTGAGGCAAACTGCCACCAATGCCGGAATTCTTCCCACCAAATTCCGACTTCGCTCTCCCACCAAGGTCGGAGTTCCGACTTCGCTCCAAGCTTCCGCGCCGGGTGCGGGTGCGGGCCGGGTGCGGGCCAAACGCGGGCCAAACACGGGCCTAATGCGGCCGTCTGCAATGCGGCCGTCTGCGATATCACCACTGACGGAGTTTTGGTTTTCAGCCCGAAAAACCCTAATGCGTGCCAGGTTGCGGGCCGGGCGCGGGCCGGGTGCGGGCGTAATGCGGGATTTGAGCTGGTGTCAGAAACTAACACCAGCTCGAACACAAATCTCTCCGTCAATCCTGCGCTGTCAACAGGATTGCCCCCGTCAATCCTGCGCTGGCGACAGGATTGCTCCCGTTAATCCTGCGCTGAAACAGGATTGCCCCAATGCAGCACCAGCAGCTCGAGCTTGGAACAGTTCTTTCCCGAGCTCAGGCTCGTGATGGAGTCGGCCCTGCTGTAGAGCTCTCGGGCCTCCGGCACGTCGTTGACGCTCACGACGAAGGGCAGGCCGCTCGCGAAGAGCGCGTCTCGGAGCTCCGAGTGGAAGGCCAGGTCGCGCCCCGCGTCCCTTCGTGCCGTAGTAATTCATAGACGCCGCGCGCTGCTCAGGGCCAGTGGCGGCTGCTGCCACGCGAAGGTTCCCGAGAAGCTGTTGCGCAGCAGGGCGTATGGCAGGGCCTCTCAGAGCGCCCGGCAGGAGGCGCCTGAAGTAGAACCACCAGGCGCAGCAGGGAGCGCAGGAAGACCGGGTCCCTTCTCACATAGCAGCGGGTTTGCGATGGGCTCGAAGGCGTCGGCGCGACGCACCTCCAGGCCCGGGCGCCTCCGAGGTAGTGCTCCAGTTTTCCGGAACCGAAGAAGGGCGAGTGCAGCACCGAGATGTCGCCCAGCAGCAGGCCCAGGCGCGGAGCCAGCCACGACTTGCTACCCGTATACTTCAGTTGCGTGCGGTCGGCCTTTAGTTTTAGGGGGACACGTCTCCCTGAAAACTCCGTGAGCGAGAGGGCGAACTCTGGGCGCGATGCGGTGAATCACGCATCGCTCCCAGAAAACGATGCGGGGAATCACGCATCGATCCCGGACTCGCTGCCCGGCTTCCCGGCTTCGAATGCGGAAGCAACACGAGCAGTGCCGTATTGCTTCCACAACGCCCGGCTTCCCGTCTTCAAATTTGGGAAGTAACGCAAAAGGACGAATGGGAAGATCAAGCTCTTCCCCACGACCGAGTACACCAGCAAGCAGCCCTCGGACCCCGTGGTGCCCCAGGTGCCGTGCACCGGCGTCTTCCTTGGGCCGTCAAAATCGGGCAAAACATCGTGGCGTCTTTGAGAAAATCTACATCTTCAGGACTTCCATCAACATCGACCTGGGGGTGAACACGGAGCGCGAGCAGGGCTACTGGGAGGACTGGGAGGACTGGGATGAGGGCTGCCTCCCCTCGTCTTTGAGGCGCCGGCGTGTAAGAGGGACAGCACGCGCGTCGGCGTGGACGTGGTGCGCTGCAGGGGCAACGGGCTGGCCAACGCCCCCTTCCCCCCGCCGATCCTCGCGGAGGGCTGCGACGCAAGGCAGTCCTGGGGCGCATGGTTCAGTGTGAACGCGCAGCACGGAGGGGTCTACAGAGCATCCCATCCACGACGCGGTCCGGGCTCGAGCACTGCATGGTGGCCAAGGCTACCCGCATAGAGCTTGGTTGTTTGATCGCCCAGACGCGCATCAACAACTGGCGCTAGTTGTCATCTTCTTCGCAGCCATCAGTGCGCCCATTTCAAAACTGCCTGACTTGGTGCGGACGGTCAATCAACTTCAGCCTGGAAACTATTGAACTCACTCCACTTAAAACCCTGAAGCTAAAAGAGCAGCTGTTCGCATTGCTCCAATCCAAAAGAATCAAAAGAAAGCTTTTGGAGCAAGTCCTGGGGCTGCTCATCTGGGCCACCAGCCTAAGTCTGGAATTAAGATCATGGCTTACGCCCTTATACGCAGATTTGCATTCGCCGCCAGGATGCATGATGTCGGTGAACGCACGCCTGTGGCCTGCATTCCTTTCAGCACTGAACGCCAAAGCCATACTGGCCTCGCCCGTACACGGCATCTTTATGCTGCTCGGCTCCAGGGTAGTAGAGTACCAGCAAATCCCAGTACGCAGCCCCTCCGACTTGCCCAGTCACAAGCCTGCGTGGGTGCCCCGCTGCCGAGCACACTCGCTTGTCCGCAGCAAGCAGGGCTAATTTCGAGTGGCTCCTTCAATGTTTGCAGGCAGACTTAGCATGCCCGCTGCGAAGCAAGCCGATCATGGCACGCAAAGCGGCCGCCGATGCTTGTGCCGACGGCGCCAAAGTCGGAATAGGCGGCCGGTTTATATCCAGCCGCTCCGTCCGCAGAAACGTGGGACTTCCAAGAAGTCTAGTAGCAGTGGCCTTGCCTCACCAAGGAGGCCCAACGCTACATAGCGTGCTTCGAAACCTTGGCCCAGCTCGCGCTCATGCGAGTCGCGTGGGCCGCCGAGGGCCAAGCAGTGCACGGCATATGCATGCCTTCCGGCGCAGACAATACGCTAGCCTCGCATATTCCGGGCGAGCGCAACGTGTGGGCTGATCAGCTCAGCCGGGGAAACACGTCCGCATTCGACAGCAAGCCGCAAGCTCGCGTTCGTTTTCACCCACATGATTTCTGGCCCCACAAATCCATGCTGTCATTGCATCCGCCCGACGCCCCATGGCGGCCGGAGCATAAGAGTGCTTCGCAAACGTTCTGAAGAGGGGGTGATAGATTAGGCCGTTTGCTTGGAACCCTAAAGTGGGGGCATTTGAGAAGGCTCCGCAGAGGGGTGCAGACACGGGGAAAGGACACGCGCTGTCTTTTCCCCTGCACCCCCGAGCCTTAACTTCGAAGCAACGCCTTATAAAGAAAAAGAGCATGCGCACAGGTTTGTCGGTCATGCTCTTTTTTCTTTTGCTACATGTTCCCTTCGGATTGAAGCAGTGATCAAGATTCTAACGTTTAGGGTTTTCCTTTTCCCTTATGTTTTAATCTTGATCGAATCTTCGGACGCGTTGCCGTTTTCTGCTTCAAGCCACCCAAGGGTCATGCGTGAGGGTTTACCCCTCTTGCCCACCCTCCCACCCTTTCACACTCAGGTGGATCCTCCAGGGCCCGCAGCTGGCGCCCCAGAGATACTGTGCACGCCATGCCCCTGCATGTAGTGGCCGCAAGTTTTCCACCTTGCACCATGTGCCGCTTTGCACACTGACAGGTTGCACGCGTTACATCCTCCAGGGCCCAGCCGCAGCTGCACCCCAGAGGCACAGCATGCCCCGGCATGCAGCGACTGTTGCGACAGGTCTCAACCAGGCACCGTGTGCCGCATTGGGACCAGACGGATGCACATGGCATCCTGCCGCCACCAATGCCTTCGATTGTTTCACGCCTCGCAGGTAACACACCTGGCGCCTGGTCGAACACGCATGTTGACCACGGGGGCATTTGAGAAGGCTCCGCAGAGGGGTGCAGACACGGGGAAAGATATAGAGTGCTGCGCCTGCCACGCGAAACAGCATCGGAGTGCAGAAAGTATCGCACTTGCGACGGAAGAAGATTGCCGCCCCACGGCGGCCAACCTTCGTAAGGTAATATAAAGTACCGCGCCTGCCACGCGAAACAGCATCAGAGTGCAGAGAGCGCTGCGCCTGCCGCGCGAATCAGCATCGAAGTGCAGAAAGTATTGCGCCTGCCAGGCAAGAAGACTGGCTCCCCACGGCGGCCAATCGCAAGGCAATATAAAGTACCGCGCCTGCCACGCAAAGTATGACAAAGTCACTGAGTGTTAGTTGAGTGTGTGAGAGTTAGTGTGGTCGAGTGTGTGAGAGTTAGTATGACAAAGTTAGTGAGTGTCAGTTGAGGAGGCGGAGGCGGCGGAGGAGGAGTGCGCGTCGAGGACGCGGAGCACGCGGAGACAACGCGCGAAGACACTAAAAACAAGAACCCCACAGAATGATGTGGGGAAGAACAGAGAGAGAGCGAGAGAGAGAGAGAGAGAGAGAGAGAGAGAGAGAGAAAGAGAGAGACAGAGAGAGAGGGAGGAAGAGGGCAAGAAGAAGAACACCAAGAGAAGAGAAAGAGCAAGACCAAGAGAAAGGACGAGAGAGAGAGAGAGCGAGCGAGAAATTCAGATAGGGACAAACATAGGAGAGCAACGTGCTGCACACTGGAGCTTTTACGTGTTTGAAGCTCCTTTCACCAGTTTTACTGGTAAACAACGCAAAACACCCCCCTAATCAACTAGGCATACTAGAGCTAAACGCCCCGAAAACTATACCCCCCAAGTGGTGTAGATGAAAAACAAATATTTGCCGCTGCTCATGTGGCTTTTTCTTGACTGCTTGGCATGACGTAGTTGAGCAACATTGCACATGCGTTGTGGATTTGTGATCGCAAAATGCAGCATGGTGGTAGCCTGCAAACACATGTGACATGCCAAATCGGAGGCTACTAACATGTGAGAAGACATGTTTGGATGGTAGTTGGGCACCTGGTAGCCACCACATAAAAGGGGCTTACAACCTCATCGATGATGAAGGCTTGTTTTGCACGAGTTCCTTGTTTCCATTTCATAAGTTCCGTTTATTCGCCATGGTCTGTTTATCTCTTTGAAGATGTGCGCCGGTGATGGATTGGGCGATCCGCGGCTTCGGAGCTGCGTGGGGCCTGAAAGGCACACATGTCAGGGTTTGGCAGCTTTGCACCTGGATTGTCCCAACGTTGCCTGGACCTGGAAAGACCAGACATGTTTGGAGACAATTGGTGCCTTTGGGAATGACCTTTCAGTATGCTCAGTTCCGCACGCATCGCTGCTCCTGGCACCGCGTGTGGCGCAGGCACAGAGGCACTATGCCGATTCGTCAAGCTGTGCAGGGCCAGGCGCACGAGTGGCCATGACTGGGATCCTGGTTCGATGTCATTTTCTACCTGCATCATGTGTTGCTGAACTTGGTTGGTCCAGGATCAGATCTTGGGAGGTGATCCTGATTTGTCCATTCTCAGTGAGACTTTCCCAGAGCCAAAATTGCCGTGAGGGACGCGGATGGGGCGGCCACGGCGGATTGGTCGCTGGAGCGCGAAGCGCAAGCCTTTGTGGATTGGGTCATCATAGAAGGCCGCGGCAGACACGTCGCAGGTAAGAAACATTTTTTCGCCCTGGAAAGGTCGAAGAGAGCCCTAACCCTCTGTATTTTTCTTGTAGGGAGTCCCAATGCATTCCGCAATTCGGGTATTTGTCAGCCTGAAATCAGTGACAGATGTCAAACATGTCCTTTCAGAGAAGTATCATACTGGGCATATGCACAAAATGCCGGACCCCACAGAGCGGGAGAAACAGAAAATAACCTATTATGTTTTTGTAAAAGGCTCGAAAGCGCCAAGTGTGGGAGCTTGGTCTTTTCTTTCCATGGAAGCGGTTTCCCCCAGCCTCTTCGCTGGCGTTCGGCTTTGCAGGCGGGCTCTTGCCCAAGGCCTGCCAGATCTTGGCCGAGAGGCCTGACATCGTAGAGGAGACGAAGAAATCAATTCCTGGAAGGAGGGTCAGGGAGCAGGGTTCTCCAGGGAGGTTTAGGAGACCTAGGGTTGGGATTCTTGCGGTTTCCTAGGACATGTCTTGAAGCAGGAAGTGGAAGAGGGGAAGTTTCAGGTGTCCTCTGTATACCAAATTGGGTATACCAAATTGAGTATATCAGTGATGCAGCACACCATGATTGCAGTGCGCTGTCTTCTTTCGCTTGTGCTGGTTTTATCTGGGCTGCCATTTGAGTTTATTGAGAGCAAGCCACCCACTTTGCAATTTGCTTGCAAGGGAGTGGCTATTGGTTGGAACTTGTTGCAAAATGGTGGTGAGACATCCCGTTTGAATTCCATGCGTCAGCCACCCATGAAGGTTTCTTTCATACTGCGCCGACAGTTTGGCTGTGCTCTCTCCACAGCCAACATAACCTCCAGAATTTGCCAGTTGCCATTCCTTTAGTCATCTCGGTCAACCTCCATTTGGCTCCCCGAACCGTACCTTGAACTTGTCGCCAGGAGAAGGTCTATCGCGAGGCGCTCTCGCGGTGCCAGGTGGATTGCCAGCCCGTGGCCTTTGATGAGCCAATCGCCATGAGAGATGGCTATGGCAGGGACGTGTGCGTGTAAGTCGTAAGTCATGGACACCTAAGGGGCGCTCTTCATGCTGCTGCGGGGGTCATTTCATGAGAATCTAGCTTTGTTGGAAGGATGGGATGTCATGGTCATTTACAAGGTTGGGCACAGGTTTTTCCTTTGTGTTTTCATTGAGGGGTGTGCAAGGCTCCGAATAGAGCTGCTGAGGAATTCTGCGTTTCATGCAATGTCTGGGTGGGACACGTCAATGCGTTGCCAAGGATCGGCGCCATCCTCCGCGACTTGGCCGGCTCTTGGGGTGTTTCTTTGTTCTGACGGTGAAGCGCTCGTATCAAGCCCTCATTTGCACGCACAACCATACCCCTCTGTTGGCGAACGCCGTGCATATGGCGTAAACAATCTGGGGCCGTTAGTACTCTTTTTGGCCCAAGGTGTGTGCCGGGACACCTCGGGCCATAGGTGTCGCTGCGGGTTACTCACATCATTATTGGGTTGCTGATTATTGGGTTGCTGATGTAATGTCTGTGATTGGACCGTATGGAGGGCCCCTGTTTGCTTCATTTTTTTTTGCTTCTCCGAGTGCTTTCGATTGGGCAAGGCAATTGTCACGAAACGAACCCTCAAGTGGGTATGGGTCAACATGAAACCAACGGGGGACCGCAGGTTTTAGTCCTTGTCTACATTTAGCAGGGTTCCATTTTGGGTGCCTATTTTTTGACCCACCCAAGTCTTTCTGGTGGCCAGTTGGGCATGTCTTCTCAGGACGCGAGGGCCTCGCAGACCACGTGGCGACTTTGGGCGCTTTGGGGGAAGCGGCCTCTACTGGAAGCATTGGCCAGGCCAGTGACCCGACGGGGGGGAGTTGGGTTTATAATTCCGAAGAATGGATCAACATAAACAACGTCTGACTATAAATATGATTAAGGAAAGTCTAGAGGGATCTTCGTTGGTGCTAGAACTAGTTGATCTGTGCTTCTCTGATTAACATCTTTGCGCGTGCAAAAGCCATGAAAAAACTGAAAGTGGCAAGAACTGAGGGAGAGAAGCCGGCCGAATAGGTGGCCCTGTGGGTGAGTTGTGCCCTTCGGCATGTGCGCCAAGCATCTCTGTCGCCACAGCCGTGTCGGGCACAGCCGTGCTTTGCAGCCTTCAATTGGTGAAACCTCTGCGCGCTTCCGGGTGGGTCGAGCCGTGTTTTTTTTGGCATGTTTTTTTTCTCCCTTTTTCTTTTTCTTTTTTGTTTGTTTGCAATTTTCACTTTGTTGGTGGCACTGCGCGCTTTGGATCGGTCAAGCCTCACAAACTCTCGTTTTTTGGTAGTATTGGCTGCGCTCGCACAAACCTTTGCGGGCTTTAAGCAAGTCGACACCAAAAACAACTAGTGGTTTTTGCGGTTTGGACTTTTGCGGGAGGGAGAGAGAGAGAGAAAGAGAGAGGGATAGAGAGAGAGAGAGAGAAATAGAGAGAAAGAAGTAGAGAGAAAGAATTAGAGAGAAAGAGAGAAAGAGAGAAAGAGAGAAAGAGAGAAACAGAGAAAGAGAGAAAGAGAGAAACAGAGAAAGAGAGAAATAGAGAAAGAAGAAAAGAAAGAAAGAAAGAAAGAAAGAAAGAAAGAAAGAAAGAAAGAAAGAAAGAAAGAAAGAAAGAAAGAAAGAAAGAAAGAAAGAAAGAGAGAGAGAGAGAGAGAAAGAAAGAAAGAAAGAAAGAAAGAAAGAAAGAAAGAAAGAAAGAAAGAAAGAAAGAAAGAAAGAAAGAAAGAAAGAAAGAAAGAAAGAAAGAAAAGAAAGAAAGAAAGAAAGAAAGAAAAGAAAGAAAGAAAGAAAGAAAGAAAGAAAGAAAGAAAGAAAGAAAGAAAGAAAGAAAAGAAAGCAAAGAAAGAAAGAAAGAAAGAAAGAAAGAAAGAAAGAAAGGAAGGAAGGAAGGAAGGAAGGAAGAAAGAAAGAAAGAAAGCAATCAAGAAAGAAAGAAAGAAAGAAAAGAAAAGAAAGAAAGAAAGCAAGAAAAGAAAGAAAGAAAGAAAGAAAGAAAGAAGGAAGGAAAGAAAGAAAGAAAGAAAGAAAGAAAGAAAGAAAGAAAGAAATAAAGAAAGAAATCAAGTAGAGAAAGAGAGAAGGAGAGAAGGAGAGAAAGAGAGAAAGAGAGAAAGAGAGGGAGAGAGAGAGCGAGAGAGGGAGGGAGGGAGAGGAAGAGAAAGGAAAAGAGAAAGAGAGAGAAAGAGAAAGAAAAGAGAAAGAGAAAGATACAGATAAAGGTAAAGGTACACAGTTAGATACAGAGAGGGAGAGGGAGAGAGACTGTGCTCCAAACCTTCCGCCCCCAGCTGCACCGGCTTTACTTGTGCATATTTTCAGAAATATGGCATGTACATACATACACAAGCAACACATGTATATCCACATGTATAATATACATATACATGTGTACACAGCTACATGCAGGAAGTATGGACATGGATGCAAAAGTTAACGATTGGATTGCGCGGTTCAATGAGGGTGGGGCGCACGCTCATTGGGTGCTTTGTGGCCACCGTTGCCCCCTTTCAGGTCCACTTCTGCGGGGACCATGTCATCAAGGCCAGAGACGTATCTCCCCTGGGCGAAGCCCAAAGTTGAAAGCCCAATGAATCCATCCGCCTCTATCACCATCTTGCGGAGTCAGGTGTCCCTGTTGAAGAAGAAGCTGCAGATGGAGCGCCAGTTTGCCTGGCTCAAGGCAGCGGTGCGTGCCATGGTGCTTTGAGACGCTAGGGTAGCGATGACCATGATCACGATGCCCATGGCCCACGTTTTCGTGACCACTTTGCATGTTTGGCCAGTTGAGATGTGTTGGTGGGCGGATTGAAGGAGCAGTTTGCACTAGGACACATGCCTCGTCAGAGCCTCGTCAGATTGAACATAGCAGGAGCAGATGGCCAGGCAGAGTGTTGTGCCAACAGGTTTGTCAACCGAAAGGGTTATGCTCTAGGAGGTTTGGTTTGCCGTGTCGAGATAATTGCCCTGTTGTTCTTTTATGGATCATCCTGTAACTCAGGGATCAACAACATGAAGGGACTTGCGGGTACCCTTTTAGCGCGCCCGATGAGACAAAGCCATTTCGCGCGGTGCCTTCCAGCAGATGCGAGGCGCTGTTGAAGCTCCCCGGTCTTCAGAAGACCATCTTGGGGGACATCCAATATGTGGCGGGTCCCATCAAGGACCCGGAAACGCTGACGAGAGGAGATGAACGGTCCAGGGCAGGATGTCTGACATGAGGTTTAGGTTTTCCTTAAAGCCTTAGCTCACTTAATGACGTTTGAGCTGCGTGGCTTGATTTGTCCTTCTATATTTGAGAGGGCTGAGCCATTCAGACAAACAAGTTTTTTGTTTAGCGGCTTCTCAAGTCAGCTTTTTTCATCCTTGGAGGCTTGGTTCCAATTTCGGAATCTTTGCTTCATGCTTTCTGGTGTTGTGTGGGACGTTTACAACCGTACAATCTTCAGAGAGATCCAACAGACACCAACGACGGTCCACATTCACCATCATCTCCTAGAGTAAGGCAACTCACCAAACCCTCATGTGCAAACCGGGGGACTTAACAAAGCTAGGGACAGAATGGCTATTGACCGTGGCTCACACGTGCATGTGTCAAGCAGGACACCGAGTTCCCTCTTGATTTTCCTTTCAAGCGATCCAAAAGGGTGATGAGCCAACTGTTTGTAAGGGTGGATTCCTAATTTTGTCACGCACCCACCTAAGCAATTGACAAAAGTATTGGTAGTCTGTTTCGGATTTGGAAGGACAGGGTCCTCTAAACGAGTCGAATCTTGCTTGTGGGACGCATCGCACTTTCACCCCTCACGCTGCATTGAGGGGTCACCATATGGCACAGTTTTTCAGGGCACACGAAGGGAAACCAAAAGGAAAACCACCATTTTGGCAGTTCCCCAAACAGCGCACGCACACATACACACACCCACCCATGTTCCACCCAATCAACAAACACTTCACCTGTGGGGCAAATTTGAATTGCAAGCACGGAGGGGTGATATTCAGCGGGCGGTTAGGAATTTGACCGGTTGCATCCTCAAGAGTGGTTGGCGGGATACATTCCTGTGTGTTTTTTGACGTTCACCACAGGGTCCAACCACTCAAACATCATGCCCATGTGAGCAATGCTGACCGCCATCTAGAGTAAAAGGGGATAGACATGGGGGCAAGCTGTTCAGATTGGGTGCCCTCCCTCCTCCCGCTGCGTGCCGGCCCTGGAAGATGGATTGCCTTTCAAGGGAGACGGTAGGGAACTTCAGGATCAGGTCCTTGCTGAGTTCAACCTCCGCATCGAGCAGCGGAACCTGCGCCTGGCGCCCTTTGCTTTGGCGCGGGCAAAAGCCCTGCAGGTGGGGTGGTGTTTTTTTTGGAACCTTTTGGTTTTGGTCGGATTCACAATAAAGGAAGGCAGGAGGTTGCCTTTTTTTAGGGTGCTGGGGAAGTCTTTCTGACTTGGCTTGGAAGAACCCGAGGTTGGGGTAGCTTTTGAGGTGTCCCATGTTCTCCGCAGGTCGACATTGGAAACCTTTCTCCAAGTGGGCAAGGGTTGTAAGGTTTCAGGAAGAAATATGGAATTGCACTTCTTTGCTTCCCCTGAATTCAGTTGCAAAAAGAGGGTCAGAGTTGTTTTTGTGCAAGTCTTTTGATCCGCCTCCCGAATAGAACAAAGCTGTTCCAGGGGTACTTTCTTTTCAAGGTGTCAAGCTGTCCAGGACTGCGGAGCTGTCAGAGTGCCAGAAGCGTCTGAGAAGAGCACGAAACATGCGGGACGCCCAAGCGCTGCGAGTGCGAGTGGAGTTGCAGTTTGTTGCTTTCATTTGATGGTTCGATGGTCAAGTACCAAATCTACTTTGCTTCCGCTGCGTCTCACGACTTTATGCGCCAAGCAGGAAACAGGTTGGAAGGTTCGGGCAAACTTCTCCAAACTGAGGTGATCATCATGAAGCGTGAGCACGGCATTGTTCTGAAGGACTTCTTGAATGAGGAGCCGACTCGACCTGTCATCACCCCCTGCTTCGTGGGCCACGGCGCACGCATGTTTCAAAGGCTCAAGCCACCATTGGAACCCAAAGGTGGCTGAATCCCTTCATGCAACGAATTAATCCGCTTGCCGATTTTCGAGCACCCGCCACTTGGGAAGAGTTGAGCCTGAGCAGTCATTCTTCACTCCCAGCCAGACCTTTCTCTGCGTGGTGTGCTTGACACCTGCTTTTCGCAGATTTGGCCCACAGGTTCCAGGATTCATCTCTTTTCCTGGGTGATTCAAGCATTGCTATTCGGCCGCTCTTTGCAAAGTTGTATCTCCTTTGTGTGATGTTCGAAGGGCTAGTCGGGTAGAATTCAAGGTTCCCCCCCAGCAATGCCTTTTTTATCATCGCTCAAGAAACCCGCTTCAAGTTTTAAGCAACGACCAACAGGTGATGCTTGAATCTCCCGGAGGGGACACGAATCTAGTTCTTCAGGTTTTGAAGATGATGAAAAGAACAAAGCATCTGATTGTGTCCTTGTGGGAGAAACAGTGAATGCCTCCGGTTGTTAAATTCAATCCCAACCCCAACCCCGAAAAAGAAACCAATACCCCAAAGAAGAAGGTGGCAAAATCGACCTAAGTCAGTGGGCGTGTCTTGTTTCCAGGGATTTGCAAAGCTCCTAACATTTGCGGTTTCCCTTTTGACTTTCCTTTCAAGCCAAGAGTAGTAAAGGCATCAAAGGCACCAGGTGTCCGTCCGGGTTCGTTTCGTTTCTCCCAGGAGCCCTTGGCACGGAGCCGGGCACAGCTGCAGCGCATCATGCGGCTCTGGGGGGCCCAGGCGGGAGATCCGAAGGTCCCGGAAGGTCCCGGAAGGTCCCGGAAGGTCCCGGAACCCGAAGCTGAGGTTCTTGGAGACAGCCCCCCTTCCCCTTCCCCCCCAAAAAAAAGAAAGAAGAAGTTCTGAAGGCATCCATTTCTTTTTTCTTCAAAGGAAGGTGCTGTTGAAAGAGGAGTTCTCTTCTTGGGAAGGCATCCAAGCTTCCCAGGTGCTGGGCCTGGGGTGGTTCCACACCGCGCCCCGGCTGTGGGCCTGGGGAGTGGGCCCATGGGGACTGGTGGATCCCGCTGTTCCCAAAGGTCCTGACGTATTCGGGACTCGCGATTGTTAGAGCGCCAATTTGCGGCTTCGGGACTCGGACAACTCGCGTCGAGGGTCGAACCATCCCAATAGTTTTGCTCAAGTCTTTGACCTGCCTGCAGACAGGAGCCACTTGTTGAAGATATGGGAATGCGTAAAAACCAAGACTGGTTCCTTCCAAACGACAGAGGTGTTATTCAGAGTTGAATTCCCTTAGTTTCCTATTTATACACACACACACACTCACGTCCACGCACGAGTCAACCTCAAGACCTACGACTACTACGACTACTACGACTACTACGACTACTACGACTACTACGACTACTACTACTACTACTACTACTACTACTACTACTGCTATTGTTACTGCTACTGCTACTACTGCTATTGTTACTGCTACTGCTGCTACTGCTACTGCTTAGGCAAGCTGCGCACGTGCGCGATGTGGACTACATTCACGCAGTTTTTTTGAGCTGACAAGGCTCCGAAAAACGATGGGGGATTCACTGAAGCCGAGACTGGAATGAAGAATTGGAGGCCACGCCGATGTTATTGAGGCTAGCTCGTGCCATGCAGCCTGACCATTTGTACTCCTTCAAGTGCCCAGCAGTTTGCTCGTTTGCTCGCTCCTCTTTTCCGTTTGCTCATCTGCCGCACCATGCGCTGGCTTGCCCGCTGTCCAAGGACCCACACCCTGGGAACTTGATGCTGACCGAGGAGATTCCCGATGTGGTCTTGAGGTGGTTCTTCGGTGTTTCAACAATGGATTGGAGAGATCCTGAAAGATGTAGAGGTTTTTTTCTTTTGTGATTTTGTTTTCTCGGATTTCATATGCTTGGGTGAACAGAGTCTTCGCGTTCCGCCTGCACGCAGCGCTTGGCGCCGCTGTCAAACAAGACCAACGCACCAACGCACGCACGCGCCAATGCGGAAACCCGAACGCCAACACACCGACATGCCAACATACCCGCACGCCAACGCGCCAACGCGCCAACGCGCCAACACAACAACTCCAACGTGCCAACACACCAACAACCGAACGTGCCCACCCATCAAGCCAGCCACCCAGCCGGCCGGCCGGCCGACTCACCCACCCACCACACCCACCACACCCACCACCAACCCACCAACCCACCAACCCACCAACCCACCAACCCACCAACCCACCACCCACCCCACCAACCACCAACCCACCAAACCCACCAACCCAACCCAACCCACCAACCCACCAACCCACCAACCCACCAACCCACCCCACCAACCCACCAACCCACCAACCCACCAACCACCAACCCACCAACCCACCAACCCACCAACCCACCAACCCACCAACCCACCAACCCACCAACCCACCAACCCACCAACCCACCAACCCACCAACCAACCAACCAACCAACCAACCAACCAACCAACCAACCGCAAGTTGCAACGCATCAACACACCGGCTCGCTCACCCGCCCAACAAAGTATTAAAAACAAAGCAACATCCAAAGAACCAAGCAACCAGACAATCACATCGAAAACATACACCGCCTGTCGTAGGAGGGGTGCCTGGCGCTGCTGGATTGGGGCTCTGTGAGCGTGCTGAGCGCTGAGCAACTCCAGGCACGTGCCAAGAGATGTGGGTCTCAAATACAACACACTGAATACTCAATCAATAACTTTGCCCGAATATGCCTTTCACCAAAAGGGCGCCACCTACTGGTTAAATGTTTGTGTCACAATGTGTCTTGTTTTGAGGGACATCCTTCATTGCCAAGCCGGTTTCAAAGGAAAAGAAAGCCGGGCCCCATTCGGGATTTGAGCCCCCTCCGGCCCAAAAGCGGTTGGTTTCGTTTGGTTTCATTTTACACATCCTCAAGGTACCCTCAAAGCAAGAGGCATCCATGTGAGCCCCACAAAAGCCTTGTTGCGGATACAAGGTGTCTTCTCCGCCAAAGTGAAGGATCGTATCTCAAATGGCACCCCTACTCCTCAAGCAGGGCCATTATGTTGCTACTGGGGAAAGGGAAGAGGCTATACCTAGCTTATGTTTTAGGTACGGTATATGTTATTATATGAACGTATACATGCATACGATATGTATATATAGATATATACATATACAAATATAGATAAACATGCTTACATACACAAGTTTATCCATGCACATGCACCGCTACGAAACTTAGACCTTGGCAATAGATCTGCGGGTTTTTGAGGCGGGTTTTTGAGGCGGACTTGCCCTCCGGGTGTTGGCGAAAGCATCTTTGCCAAGCAACCAGCAAGTGTTGAGGCAAGTAGATTTCAGTACTACGCAAGTGCCACCCAACCAGCAAATAAACACCACACATAGGCACCTCTACCAGCAGAAGAGCAGCAAAGCAAATATAGCAAGGCAAAGACAGCAACTAAACAGTAGTGTTTAATAATTTGTCAAACAGTTTCTTGCGGCTTTGGTGGATCGTTGACTGAATGTTTAATGTTTGGGTCGTGGTGCTGGATAGTGTTGATGTGGCACTGATTCAAGGTTGTTGATGTAAGCTTGCAAGCCATGCTTAGCATTGGCTTTCGGGTCTTATTGATCTGACGCTTGCATGTAACTAGCACATGATGCCAAACGTACATTCACGCGAAGGCGATGCACGGACCTTACATAAGCCTTGGCACAACAAGGCTGACTTTGGTAGCTCATTCTCACTTGGTTGCTTGCGTTGTGGGAAGAGTTAGTTCCGAGACTGCTTTGGTAGAATGTATGTGGACATAGGGTGGCTTTGGGTTCTTGAACAACTGCAAGTTTTCTGGATGTCAAAGCTTAGAGATAGCACACTTTTGCGGCAATCCAGGAGCTTCAAGCCAGAAATCACCAAGATTCGGAGAAGCATTGTTTTGTCATCCTCAAGCCAGCAGTTGCCGCTAGGAAGTTGACGTTCCTGGTTTGAATACTTAAAACGCAACTTCTGGGAATAGCCAATCTTTGTGCAACATACATGAACGCACCTCAATGCATTTGTTTGAAGTTTGAAGATGGAGCTCACAGGTTTACATTTGGGTGGTGGAGGACATTTGCAACCCTCAACCGTATCGTACTTGCAAGCAACTTGGCGTTTTTTCCAAAGCGGTCACAGCTAGCATCGGACATTTTGGCTTTCACCGCTACACCAGCCACAGACACAGCTGATACAACGGGTCCCTGAGAGCGCACCGATACATCGATACACTGATATACCGGAGTGCACCGAGGCAAGAGGGCCTTCTTTCCATGTCCAGAAACCAATGTCCGCGTTTTTTTTTTTTTTTAATTGACAATTGCAGGGATCAGCATTCCCAGGATCTGCGGGCCCTCTTCGGGTTCCTGGGCCGACGGCCTGCGGACATGGGCCTGGCGGTGCAAGCGATGCGGCGCTTGGGGTTCGAGACCAAGAAGGATGGAGGGGTGGAACTCGGTGCTTTTCGGTCGGGATGTGGTTGCACGGCAACATGTGGGCCAATATTACTGGAGAACCGTCAAAGCCAAAGCCTACTTGTTATTGACTGCTTCTGCCCGTGGTCATGGGAGTCCAAGTGTTTCATAACAGGGAACCGCCCTACGAATCTGAGTACTTTGGGATGGATAGCACTGATTTGGAGCCAGAGGGGAGCCATAAACCAATGCCAGCGAACCACAAAGCAAGCAGATGGGAACCCTGCAATTTTAGCATGTTTTCTTTGTTTGGATGTGGTTCTGGACTTGCAATAGTTTCGGGAGCCAGGGTTGCACCCTACTCTTGGGTGCAAGGATGAATATTGCCGATGAAGACGCTAAGCTGCGAGATTGATCGGCCAGTTGGAGTCAATTCATCTTGCGGAACCCGAACTTGTTGAGACAACGCTTACTCTGAATTTCCCGACTTGGAGAACAGCCCCAAGATACAGCTCACTCTCCCATCGCCGGAAGCCTTTGAAACTCTGCCCGTCACCTAAGCTTCCACATCATTCCCAATTCCCAGCTTCGAAGCATGGTTTTGTCTGAGGAAGTCCTTTGTCCCCACCATGTCTGCTGGCAGACCGTTGTCGTGTGTATGCCCTTTAGGTGTTGCTTAAAATCGATTTCAATGGGAAACCACCCATGTTGAGTGCTTTATGTTTTTAAGGCACGCTTTGCAGGTCTGTATCAAATTCAGGACCCCTGAGAAGTCCAACTGCTTTTGACGTGGCTTCAGATTCAACTTGGTGCGACACAGAATCCCTTGTGTTTGAGTTGGAAAGCTAAAAGAGGTAATTCTCCTGAGGCGTTGGTCGACGGAGAGGCCTCCCTACTGTGCGCTTTTGTCGGTTTCCTATCACGGCAATTCTTGCCTTCATTTCCAGCTGAGTCGGCAGCTAGTGCCCACACAGGCCAAAAACCCAAACCCCAGCTTCACTCTTCAGTTTGCTCTCCCCCCTTTCGTGCGGCAGGGCACGGACGCCGGGCTGGCGCAGCTCATCATCTCCACCTTTGCCATGGACTTGGTGTACCAGCCCGAGGTCAGGGCTGCCCTGGGCGGCGAGGAGGAGGACGGGACGTGGTTTTTTGGGACATCAAGACGACTGTCAGGACGTTGTTGGAACCTCTGGTTCTTAAGCAGTTGCCAGAGTTTTAGGCGGTTGCAGGTGATTTATTCAGCGGTCAACACGATGTTCTCTTTGCACGCGTGAGTCTTCCAGGATCTGCCAAAGAAGATCCCCTCAGACATGGCTCAGCTGATCAGTGGCAAAGCGAAAAGTGGGAAGGTGGAGGGGGGGAGGCTTTGTTTCTTGATAAAACATCCCCACCCCCTGGGAAATGTGTGACGAGGGTGAGTGAGAACCCTGAGCGTCCCACTATGGAACCTGATCCTCAAGGCACCCTCTGGGTCTATGGCGGCGTAGGATTGGTAGGAATCAACCACTGTGGTTGGATGGGGCTAATTTTTTCAGAACCATGGTTCCACTGCAAAACTGTGTCTTTGGGTCTGATCCCATCTTGAAGTTTCAAAGGGTGGGATGGCCGTCTTTGTCATAGTCGCGCGTCAGATGCTTGAGGTGCCAGCTACTGTTCTTGACTCTGTTCCCTAGCTAGCACACAATCCCGTGGGCGATGGCCGCGATACTAGTAGCCATAGATTGCTGCTCTCTGCGATGGGCCTTGCAAGTGATAAGCTGATCAGCTGTGAAACAAGCCGCACCGTAGTCACACAGTTCAGGGTCCACCTTTGCCGTGAGAGGTGGCTCAACATGCGGCTTGTGTCACCAGCTGACTTTGCCCGACCACAGTTGATCGGTCAATTTCAATGATCAAATCGACATGTTGCGGGTGTCTGCATGCGTGGCCGTTTTTGGATGTCACAAAGGATTCCAGACGAACACCGACTTGGATTTTTTTTTTTTTTGACAAGCAACTGCAATACCCTTTGCTTTCACAAGCGGTTTCTTCTCGGAACCGCCATTCTTTGGGTCACGCATTTTGTCAGGGTTTGCATAGACGTAGAAGGGGGCGCCAAAGCCGGACATCCCTCTTTTGGATTGGGTAAAGCCGGACATCCCTCTTTCGGATTGGATTTTCATATTCATCATTGTTTTTTTGGCATCGGAAAAAAGCCACCAACAAAGCACGATGCAGGTTTCTCACTCGGTCCAGTTTCTTCTTTCAGTGAATTCACGACAGTTCCCCCCACATGACTTGTTTACCCGTGGACCCTTAACACAGAGCCCAACTCCTCGCGCCGAGGAGTCATCGCGACGCTGGAGGGCATGGCGGCGCGGGTGCAGGCTGGCCGTGTGCTGCCGCTGTGGCTGCCCTTGCTGGAGCAGGCACGGCACAGAAAAAGTGAGACGCCAGCCACCGTATGGCTGTCAAAACCAATGGGATCCCATTTTGAGGTAGGTGCACCACCCATTTTAGAACCTGTTTTAGTGGGGATTGGGATGTTCACCAGGGGTACAGGGTTTGACCCACAGCCATATGGGGGTGTCTCTTGTTTTAGGGGACCCCTCCGAAATGGTGAGCATCAAGCATATTAAAGCATGGGACATAGCGGTTGGGCGCCTTGTGCTCTTTTGTGCGAGATAGCGATAGGAAGCAGACAGCGTGGAAGCTCGGCCACTCATCGAGGGCGAGGGATCCTTGGCAGAAGAGCAGTTGCAGCCTGGAGGTTGGCACCACTGCAAGTAAGGCTTGATGTGTCACCAGGTCTTCGGTTCAGCAACAACAGGCTTGGCACTGTTTTAAGCCAAGATGTTTGTTTGTTTCGAACCATTGAAGTAGCACTCACATTTTCTCCTCCTCCTCGGCAGTTGTCGCGCAGACCTGGAGAAGGTGCAGTGCACCCTCACGTGGCTATGAAATTTGACTGGGAACACCCTAATAAAGTTTGGTGGACATTTTTCTGATGGGCATTATTTTAACGCCTCCGGCTCAGGCCGCCGACATTACAGGCCTGCTTTCTTATTTGCGTCCCTTTGGAATTGTCCCCTTGCCCCCTTCCCCTCTGAGATTTTTGCCCCCCTTTCTTTGTTGAGATCCATTCCCCCTTTCCGCTCTGATTTTTTTCCCTTTTCCTCCCTAAGATGTTTTCCCCCCTCTCCCTGTTGAGATCCTTTCCCCCGTTTCCCCCCTAAGGCCTTTTCCCCCCTGAGATCTTCTCCCTTTTCCTCCCTTTCCCCCACTTTCCCCCCTAAGGCCTTTTCCTCCCTGGGATCTTTTCCCTTTCCTCCCTGAGATCTTTCCCCTCCTTTCCCTGTTGAGATCCTTTCCCCCCTTTCCCCCCTACGGCCTTTCCCCCCGCTGAGATCTTCTCCCTATTCCTCCTTAAGATCCTTTGCCCCCTTTCCCTGTTGAGATTCTTTCCCCCCTTCCCTTTAAGGCCTTTCCAGATCTTCTCCCTTTTCCTTCCTAAGATTGTTTCCCCCCTTTCCCTGTTGAGATCCTTCCCACCCTTTCCCCCCTCAGGCCTTTCCCCCCCTGAGAGCTTCTCCCTTTTCCTTCCTTAGATCTTTCCCCCCTTTCCCTGTTGGCCTTTTTTCCCCCAGATCTTCTCCCTTTCCTCCCTAAGATCTTTTCCACCCCTTTCCCTGTTGAGATCATTTCTCCCCTTTCCCCCCTAAGGCCTTTGCCCCCAGATCTTCTCCCTTTCCTCCCTAAGATCTTTCCCCCCCCCCCCCCCTTTCCCTGCTCAGATCCTTTCCCCCTTTTCCTGCCCTAAGATCTTTTGCCACCTTTCCCCGTTGAGATCCATTCCCCCTTTCCCCCCTAAGGCCCTTTCTCCCTCTGAGTTTTTCCCCTTTCCCTCCTTTCCCCCCTAAGGCCTTTTTTCCCCCCGCGATCTTCCCCCTTTTCCTTCCTAAGATCTTTTCCCACCTTTCCTTGTTGAGATCCTTTCCCGCCCTTTCCCCCCTAAGGCGTTTTCCCCCCCAAGATCTTCTCCCTTTTCCTCCCTAAGATCCTTTGCCCCCTTTCCCTGTTGAGATCCTTTCCCCCCTTTCCCCCCTAAGGCCTTTCCCCCCCTCAGATCTTCTCCCTTGTCCTCCCCAAGATCTTTTCCCTTGGTTGAGATCCTTTCCCCCTTTCCCCCCGAGATCTTCTCCCACCTTCCCTGTTGAGCTCCTTTCCCCCTTTTCCCCTCAAGGCCTTTTCAGATCTTCTCCCTTTTCCTCCCTAAGATCCTCTGCCCTTTCCCTGTTGAGATCCTTTCCCCCTTTCCCCCCTAAGGCCTTTTCCCTGCCTGGGATCTTTTCCCTTTCCTCACTGAGATCTTTCCCCCCCTTTCCCTGTTGAGATCCTTTCCCTCCTTTCCTTCCTAAGGCCTTTCCCCCCGCTGAGATCTTCTCCCTATTCCTCCTTAAGATCCTTTGCCCCCTTTCCCTGTTGAGATCCTTTCCCCCCTTCCCTTTAAGGCCTTTCCAGATCTTCTCCCTTTTCCTTCCTAAGATTGTTTCCCCCCTTTCCCTGTTGAGATCCTTCCCACCCTTTCCCGCCCTAAGGCCTTTCCCCCCCTGAGAGCTTCTCCCTTTTCCTTCCTAGATCTTTCCCCCCTTTCCCTGTTGGCCTTTTTTCCCCCAGATCTTCTCCCTTTCCTCCCTAAATCTTTTCCACCCCTTTCCCTGTTGAGATCATTTCTCCCCTTTCCCCCCTAAGGCCTTTTCCCCAGATCTTCTCCCTTTCCTCCCTAAGATCTTTCCCCCCCCCCCCCCCTTTCCCTGCTGAGATCCTTTTCCCCGTTTCCCCCCTAAGGCCTTTCCCCCCCCCTGAGAGCTTCTCCCTTTTCCTTCCTTAGATCGTTCCCCCTTTCCCTGTTGGGCTTTCCCCCCTAAGTCCTTTTCTCCCAGATCTTCTCCCTTTCCTCCCTAAGATCTTTCCCCCCCTTTCCTCCCTAAGATCTTTCCCACCCTTTCCCTGTTGAGATCCTTTCCCCCCTTTCCCTTCCAAGGCCTTTCCCCCCCTGAGAGCTTCTCCCTTTTCCTTCCTAAGATCTTTTCCCCCCTTTCCCTGTTGGCTTTTCCCCAGATTTTTTTTCCTTTCCTACCTAAGATCTTTTCCACCCCTTTCCCTGTTGAGATCATTTCTCCCCTTTCCCCCCTTAGGCCTTTTTGCCCCAGATCTTCTGCCTTTCCTCCCTAAGATCTTTCCCCCCCAGTTCCCTGTTGAGATCATTTATTTCCACTCTTTTCCTTCTAAGGCCTTTTCCCACCTTCAGTTCTTCTCCCTTTTCCTCCCAAAGATCTTTCCCCCCCTTTCCTCCCTAAGTCCTTTTCCCTTGAGACCTTCTCCCTTTTCCTCCCCTAAGATCTTTTGCCACCTTTCCCTGTTGAGAGCCTTTCCCTCCTTTCCCCCCTAAGGCCTTTTTTTCCCCCTTTCCTTGTTGAGATCCTTTCCCCCCCTTTCCCCCCTAAGGCCTTTTCCCCCCAAGATCTTCTCCCTTTTCCTCCCGAAGATGTTTTCCCCCCTTTCCCTGTTGAGAACCTTTCCCCCCTTTCCCCCCTAAGTCCTTCTCCCTTTGCCTCCCCCAAGATCTTTTCCCCCGGTTGAGATCCTTTCCCCCTTTCCCCTCTCCCAAAGGTCTTTTCCCCCCTTTCCCCCTTAAGGCATTTTTTTCCCAGATCTTCTCCCTTTCCTCCCTGAGATCTTTCCCCCCTTTCGCTGGTGAGATCCTTTCCCCCCTTTCCCCCCTTCATTTCCTTCACCAGCATGTGCAACATCCCCAGCATCACTTGCATCATCCGCATCCTTGGCAGGCGCTGATGCGGATGATGCAGGTGATGCTGGCGATGTGCCGCTGGAGCTGCCAAGGATGCGAAAGCGCACCCGGGGGGAATCGAACACCCTCAATGTTTTTGACAAACTGTGTTGCGCAAGCCCGCACAATGAACAGATTTAGTGAAGCGTCTTCGAATCACCGCGTGGTACGTGGACCCCCCCCCCCGCAATAGTCTGGAATGGTGCCCCTGGGGAGGGGTAAGGGTAACCGGTAAAGAGGTAAGGAGCATTTCTTATGTCCAACACGCTGTCTGTTGTCGGCGGATATCCACCAAGGGGTCCCCCTATGAGGTTCGCTCAAAAGATCCAGGGATCTATGGTCAGTTTGGGAGGACATGGGTGACTCAATAGATTTTATCCGCAAACACCGGGGGGACGAACTCGAATCCGCGGCATGCCCATGAGGGTAGTCGCATATTTTGGCCGATGATAGGAGATCCTTGTAACATGTGGTTTCCCTTTGCACATCCTCCGAAAGGGTGTCTGAAAGCCCCCATGAAAAGGCAGGGGCTGGCTTTGGGTGTCAAAATTGGGAACCTTGCTGGAGGTGCGTTGACGAATATTCGTTTGCATCTGGCAACCATGTGAAGTTGCAGGGAGCCGTTGGGAGGGGCCCCTTCGACGGACATGCCTGCTGGCAGCTCAGGGAATTTCCTGCGTGGCGACAGCAAGCCGAGGCCTGGGTGACGCTTCTCTGGTGCAAGGGCTTTAAGCAAGACCACTTCGGTGACATTGAACACATCAACAACCATTGGGCCAGTCGGAGGGCAATCCAGGTCTCTTCAACTTGTTTGGACAGGGTTGGCCGTCCACTTGCGACCTGAGCACTTGCATTCAAGGACTTGGAGGAGATGAGATCGCAATTCCGTCCGTTTTAATGCCAAAATGAAACAGCGGCCAGTGGCCTGCGGCCAGCTGTTGGGTCACAAACCCTGGTGCTTTCAGCTGAACGTTTGGCTCCAAAGGACACATTTTGCACCCGCCACGTTTTGAAGCCAGATTGCCATGCGCTTGCCAGGTCAAGCGTGTGGGCCATGCCCTCCTTCACCTTGCGCCTTGGACGAGAGGTTTTAATCGCGCGCGAAAGGCGTCGAGCCCAAGACAGAAATCTTTGAGAAATTCTCACTTGCGAGGGCGTGTCCCTAAATTGGGGGAAAGCAAAGGACACTTTTGGCATATTGGGAGTCCCCGATGCCACACCCTTGTGAATATCCGCGGGTGCACCACATTGACATGGCCAGAGGTGTCCTGCTCTTGGGCCAGATTAGGACTCTTTCCGGACACTTAGACATAGCCGCTGGCCTGTATGTGTGCATTGGTCAAACAACTCTGTTTTTGCTCGAGGTTAGCAGGGATAAGCCGTGCACCCCCGAAACAAAGCGCGCCATGGAATGTGAGGGGCTCTGTTTTTGAGGGGAAGCACTGGGCAACTCTTAGTTTTGCGCCTCCGCGAGGTGGTCCAAGTTGTCCGAGGAGGAGCTGTGGATGAAGTTCTGCGAGCTGGACGTGGATCACAGCGGGACCCTGACCAGGCCCAAGCGTGATGGGGATGGCTCACGGCTTCGGTTTCCCTTGGTTTCCATGCATACAACCTCAAGAAAGGGTTCCAACTCCAAAAAAGACATCCAAGGTGGGCTCGGGGAATTCCACTGTCGGGGCGAATCAACCACCGGGCTTCTATTTGAAGCCTCAGAGGGGCCCATTTGCCACAATGTTCCGAATGAGTGTGGCGGGCCCGGAGGATGGAACGGAATCTGCAGCAAAATACGGTGAAACAGAGGTCTTTGGAAGATTTCAAGGGAAAGTCATACACTCAGACTCAGACGCGTCTCAGACGTTTCCAACTGTACCTGACAACCGGAAAGCCAGTTCATGACAGCTTTTTGGTGAAGAGAGCAGCAACGTGGGTGCACGGGAGCGCGGGTGCGTGGGTGGGCGGGCGGGCGGGCGGGTGTGTGTGTTTGTGTGTGTGTGTGTGTGTGTCTCAAAAACAAGGGTCCTTTTCCAAGCCGTTTTGACGACGCGAAGCCAAGCATCAGGTGCCACAAGCATTCCATTTTGGGTTCCCCTAAATGGATGGTTTACCATCAGTTTCCCTTTCAATCAACCCCGACAGTGCATCTGACCCTCCGATTCATAAGCCCGTTTTTTTTTTCAATAGGAGGGTTCTCCTGTTGGGGATTCATCACTGGAGGGGTATTCCCTACTGTGGATGGACGAACTCCTGCACCACTTGGGATAAATGAAGCACTGTAAATCATGGGCTAAACGACCTACTAACTGGTGCAGGGTTTTGTCCACAGTACCTTCAGCACAACTAAAACAAGACGCGTTTCAGGAAGAGCCGCTTCAAGCGCCCAGGCAAGAGGCCTGCCAAGGCCTGTGCAGGCTGGGAAGGTCGGAGGCAGAGGTGCAGAAGGACCGCTGTTGGGCTGTTGGGCTGTTGGTTGGGTTAGGTTGCCTTGGGGGTTGGGGTGGGGGGTGGGGGGTGGGGGAAGAGAAACGGGGACGTGACCCAAGCAGCCAGTTTGACCTGAAGGGTCTATGCGCCCCCAAACCATGTGCGGGGGGGGTTTGCCAGCCTGCCACATTTGAGTGAGCCTTGAAAACAAAAATAGAACTCGTTTTTGGGATGGCTTCAAAAGTGAACCGCCCATTCGGTGGGCCCCGATTTTGAGGCAACCCCACCTTTAAAGCAGTGGCTATTCGGGGTGCTGCACAGGTGCAGATTTGACAAGTTTACAGTGTGATTTCTTTTTCCGCTTCCCCTGACTTCCCCTTTTTTGTTTGATCCTCAGCGAACATCAGCATTTTGAACAGCTATTTTTCTTTGAGCTGGCTGCAAAGGGGGTCGACAGAGCTGCTCATTTGCTTGGGATTTTGTTGGCCACCCCTACTTGAGTGTTTGCGGTTTTTTGATGCCATTTGGAATATGAGGATTGGCTTCCCATTTCTGGCCATGCCTTGATGGCTGGGTCCAACTGCACTGATCCAAGCAGAAGCCAATCCGAGCAGCTGATCCGGTCAGACGCTGGAGGTCCCATTCTTGTTGCAGGCAAGCGTTTCATGAACTCCAGAAAAGGGAATGTCGCGAACCACGAGAAAGGATTCCTATTCAGGGAGCTGTGACCATGGCCAGATTCGGAGCTTTGCCCCCATACATGTGGTTACATTTGAGGGGGATATTTTTTTCGGCTGATTTTTAGAAGGAATCGACCCCTTGGTTCGCCAATCATTGGCCATCCCCAAAACGGGTTCCAATTTTCCCAAGATGAGAAAGCCCTTGGGCTGCGCAGGAGCTGAGCCGGTGGCCTTCGGACGTGGACTTTCAGACCTTCAAGTGAACCCGGCAGATTCAGAGCTCCGGAGCGACTTCAGATCCCTCAGTTCCGGTCGGAAATTGGGACATTTGGAGCCGTCACAAGAGGAAGAACCGCCGCATCTGGCTGTTTCCATGAGAGTGTCATGTGTCAACTCCGTTGACCGATTTCCTCTTGGACTATCCGCTATTTACAATTTGCTGGCATATTACTTTGGTGCGTTTGTCTCCATTTTTTTTTAAAACCTGGTAGGTTTCCGCTTGGTTTCTCTTGTAAAGCTCGCCAAAGGGGCCCCGCAAAAACATACTTTGGGCCACAAGGGGCAGAATGAAACGGAGCTGCAGAGGTCGTGGAGCGGATGGGCTGATTTCTTTGAAGCTTCTTCTACCGATGCGAGCAGAGAGATGGCTGTGGGTCAAAACCAATGGGATCCCATTTTGGTTGGTAGGCGAATTCACCACCCGTTTTAGAGCCTATTTCAGTGGTTGGATTGGGATGTCACTAGGGGCTAACCGGGGTTTTGACCCATGGCCAGATTGTCTCTGCGAAAACTGCCTGACGCCAGGCAGTTGGCCAAAGGCAAGGACGCGCGGGCGGCCTTTGACAAGGTGGACGTGGATGGCTATGGCCAGCTTCTGGGAAGGGAGGAGCCGAGAACTTTGGGTGGGGGGAAGGGATTGGGAGTGGAGGGGGAGGGGGTGAGGTCTGGGGCTTTGGGTTTAAGGTGTTTGGGCTTAGGGGGGTTGATGGTTGATAGTACCAAAGTGGTGGGATCCGAGTTTTGTGTTCCCTTCCGTTTTGGTAGAGCGCAGGCAGGCAAGGATGGCTCGGAGAGTCTTCGGCAGCACCTGGGAGGAGCGGCCATGGGTGTGAAACCTCGGCCATGGGCTCTCAAAGGACTTTCCTTTTCCCCTGCTTACTTTGGGTTGGTGGAGGAAAGAATTCACATAGCTTTGAATGGCTTTATCGCTGATCCGAATTTGGGATCGCGACCGGCCATTGATCTGCCTGATAGGAGATCGCGGATGCCTTGCGTGAGATGGGCAAGAGCCAGAAGCAGATTGACAGCCTCGCGACTTGCCTGCAAGTGTCACTTCCAACACAACTTCCAACACAAGGTGTCAGCCAGAAAGGGCAAACCCAACCTAGAAGAGGACAAGCAACCAAACTCTTTTTAGGTACCGACCCTAAGCGGTATCAACCAACAAATCAAAAAGAGGTACTCGGTTTGAGTCGTACAAACCCAAGGAACCAACCAAAGGGGTCCGATCCCAACAGGAGGTTTCCTTGAGTTTCAAGGTTTCCTCACTATGCGACCGGCAAGTGAGTCTTAAGTTTGGGTGAGCTATCGATCCAGTTCGCTCAGGTGAGGGCTATGCCGGATGGTCAGGAGATGGACTTTGAGGGCTTTCAGGAGCCGCGGATGGTTTGGACCTTTGCCTTGCGCGGGATGGGGTTCCTTTTTGGTCCCCGAATCCACCATTGACCCTCCCGGATTTCGGTCTTCAGAACCGAAGGGGTTGCGGCCAATAGACGGACGCCCTTTGGTCAAAGGAGACAACTCTTTCCCCAGGGCACTGATGCTGGCACGCGCGAGACACATTGAAAGAATGACTGAGTTTTTTTTTTTTTTTTTTTTCTGTTGTCGTTTTCCTTTCTTTTCTCGTCGGGCTCCTTGGACGCTTGCCGCGGGTTGCTTGGCGTGTGTGTGGGTTTTCTTTTTCTGTGTTTTTTCCTTGTTTTGTCTTTTCCTTTGTTACTGAACTCATGAAGAGATGAAATGAAGCAGCCAGCTGGCGCATTGATACTCCCTCTCATTGTGCCATCAGTGGACCATCGGCCGCCAACCGATGATCGCGCGTGCTCCAAACCTCCACGTGGTGCGCCCTGGAAACTCACCCCACATACGAGGTAATCGTCGGATCCGGGTCACAAGGGGAGGACATGCAGACAATTAGCAACAGAGATGAGGATGGAATCGAACCAAGGAACATCGAACGCGGAACAGACGCAAACATCAGGAAAAGACTGACACAATCAGGAAATACATAGGGTGAGGCAAACGTCCCTCCTCTTAATAGAGGTGGTCGGTGTAGACCGACCGACGAGGAGCAACGGGGTAGATACCGGTTGAACATGGACTTGGGAAGACGGCCTCTTGGGGACTCGACGGCCAAACCACTTCCTCTCCGTGCTTCAGCCCTACTCGGGGTAGAGGCGGGTGGGCTCCGACTCTCCGAACTAATTGAGGAGAATGCCGATGGCAGAAAGTGAGCAGACATGGCCGAATCAACTCACGTGATAAACAACAATGAACTCCGCCCCATAGAACGCCATCATGCGCACATCGGCTGCCGTGTAGAAGCTCAAGCACAAATGGCAGGCCGAGCCGGTAGAAAACGCCGCCGAAAAGCGGCCACATACTGGGCCACCCTCGCAGCACAACTACTGACGGGTAGCACACATGAGCAAAGCAGAAATGCGATACTCCGGAAAGCCGACAAACTACGCAAACATAAACGAGTGCAATGGGGAAAGTTCTTAAAGCGGCAAAAACAGACAAGACGAACTCACCATGACATACGCATAGGCACATGGAACACTCGCCGACTGGGCGCTGTGCACGGGCGGGTGGACGTCGCGACCAAACTTCGGCACATGGCAGAGGTCTGGCAGTTGAAGGACGCATGATGTTGGACAGCTGTCAGGCAGAAAACCTGGTGGTGACAAACACATGGACAAGCCAGAAGAACAAGACTACGTGGAGGCACCCGCGATGGAAAAGAGGACACCTGATCGATTACATTCTGGTGGAAAGACCGCAACTCAACAACGTGAAGAGGGTGCTCACACTGCACGAAGAAGTAGCCTGGACCGGCGGGTTGACCGGATGGGGGGAATATACTGACCACAATCCCGTCGAGATCAGCTTCAAAATCGCGCCGCCACAGGGGATGACTGCCCCCGCGCAACGCGCAAAGCGCTGGGCATGGGTAGCCGGGAGAGGTGATGAACCAGCCGCCAAAAGACTACGCACGCAGTACGCAGAAGAAATCAAGACGCAGCTCACAGACAGGACCAGCCCCATGCACTGGGACGACATCATAAACGTCACCACAGCGGCCGCCCGAAAAGTGTTTGGCCCGGTCGAGCCCAAACCCCCACGGCCATGGCTAGACGGTAAAGAGACGGAACTACGCCGGCTCAGTTTCGCGGTGGCCACGGCCAAAGCGGCCAGAGACAAAGCTGAGGAATGGGCCTACAGACAGGAGGAAGATGAGGAAGCCGCGGACTTTTGCGCGCAGGCCTGGAGACTGGTCCAGGCGGCCACGCGACGCAAACGACGCCAACTAAGAGAGTGGGAGGACACATGGTGGAATCAGTTGAGCAATCAGGCCGAGACTGCAGCGGCTAGAAACGACAGCCGGGCACTTTACGACCTGATTAGACAATTGCGGGGGAGGGCGGTGACTGCGCCCGAGGCCGTCAGTGGGACACGTCGCCCACCGTGGTGAAGTTCCCGGCGTTGGCCGTGTTGTTGATGGTGAGTGTACTGCCGGTATTCCGGTGGCCGAGCTCAGCAGGCCCACGCTGGCCGCGCCGGTGATGCTGCGAGCTGCCTGACACGGCCCCTGTGGACGACAGCGTGGCTCCGGCGACGGTGCCGGTGGCGGTGAGCGCTGCGCAGGAGACTGCACCCGAGGCGTCCACGCCCGTTGTGAACACGTCCGTGCAGTTCACGTCGTTGCACAGCAGCTGGTCGCAGCCCACGTTGCAGCCGGACAACCCGGTTATGGAAGCCCAGGCGTGGAAGGAGCACTTTCGCCGCATACAGGACGGCACACAACCGGTACACGACCGTATCTGGGCCAACGTCGTCGAGCGAGCGGACCGAGCCACATGGATGGACGAAAAGCCGAACCAAGCGGAAATCCAAAAAGCCATAAAAACAATGAAGCTCGGCAAGGCCCCGGGCATTGATGGCGTTACGGTGGAGGCACTACGATGGGCGCCGGATGAAATGCACCATCAGCTATGTGCCATCATACAAACAATGTGGATGGACGCGACCAGCACGCAACTCGGACAAGAGGCTCACGACTGGCCAGAGGCATGGAAGACGGCCATTACCGTGCCACTATGGAAACAGAAGCAACCTCGATCAGACAAGAACAACTGGAGGGGAGTTACGCTCCTCAGCGTGGGGGCAAAAGTGGTGGCGCGCATCGTCGCCAACCGGCTTCAGACACACACGGAAGAGTTCATGGACGAGCGTCAACAAGGATTTCGGCGCAATCGCGGCGTTGATGACGTTCTGCAAGTTTCCAGACGCATAACTGAGGAGGTGGTGTCATCTGGCCCGACCGAGCCGGTAATCGTAACACTCTACGATATAGAAAAGGCATACCCCCGAGTGAACCGACTGGCACTCTGGACATTGCTCGACAAATGGGGAGCTGGAACAGGCTTTATCCGCGTGTGTCAGGCCCTACACGACTACACGTCGTTTCGCGTGCAGAGCGGCGCTGTCCTATCAGATGGGTATACTGCGGGACGGGGATTAAAGGAGGGCTGCCCGAGCAGCCCTCCTCTTTTCAACGTGTATCACGCGGCAGTGATGGCGGATTACAGGACCCGTCGCAGCAGAGCCGCCGAGGAAACAGGCGCGCAACCTGGGATACAGTGGAAGACCAAGATCACAGGGCAATTTACCAAGCGACAGGCTTGTCTAAACAGCAACCGTCAGATCCGACAGGATATCTTGGGCGACATCCAGTTTGCAGATGACACGGCGACGTTCGCCCAGGAAAGCGAGGCGATCGCGGCGGACAGCACACTGGAAACGACCTTCACGGACTGGGGCGAAAAGCTGAACCGCAACAAAACGGAAACCTTGCGCATCGTCCCAGCCGCACGCCCAGAAAAACGAGGACGTGATGCGGACTTGCCCGACACAGTCCGGCACGTAGGAGGCTACCTGTCAGCCACTGCTACGCAATGGAAGGACACCATTCATCGGGGTAGCATGGCCATGCAACGGGCCAGAGCAGTCGCCAAGGCGTGGAGCCTCGGAAGCTCCAAGGGCAGGGGCGCTACCAGCGGGATACGGTTCGCAACCAGACTCAAGGTGATGCCAGCATCATCGTGCCGACCCTCACTGCTTTTGGCAGGTCTCGGGCCTGGACCCGGGCCCAAGTTGAGCACTTGCAAACCAGACAAAATTACGCGATCCAAAGGGCGTTGGGACTGGACCGTATGGCCATGCATGAGTATCATGTGCGGAATCAGGACCTACACGCCATGGCGCAATGGGAACCCATCGAGAAGGTGTTGGCCAGACAAACCTTGCGATAGCACGAATGCCGACGCACAGACTACCTAAGATCGCCATGTGGGGGCATTGGCAGGACGCAGAGCCGGGTCAGTTCGGACCCACGCGACAGCAGAAGTGGTTACAGACGGTGCTAAAACTGGCTGACATACCGGAGCTCGACTGGTTCCGACTGGCACAGGATAGACCGACGTGGGACGCGCTCATCAAGCGCGGACTTCCGCGGCCAGTTCTAAAGCCACACCGACCTGGACGACCGCCCCCCTACCGACGCCGCCGAGACTCAGGTTGCGCAGAACGGTGTGGACAAAGCGATCCAGTCAACTGGCGCGAGGGGAATGCCCAGTGTGTAATCACCAAGCGGTCGACGTCCGTCACCTTCGGAGCCATTATGACAGTCAACACGCAGTGTTCGACCCCACAAAGACCACCATGCAAGAACACGTCTGCAAAGAGTGCAAGGGCCGCTTCCCGAACGCCTACGCCACGACACGGCATCAGTGCAGGGGACCCGCAATGGTACAAGAACGGCTACAGCACATCGCGCCAGACATCCCTGAACCGCCGCCTACTTGGCACGTGTTCACGGACGGCTCCGGAGGCGCAGCAGACAGCGAAGGCGCCGGATGGGGAGTAGCCGTGTACGCGTTGCCCGACGGTGTGTGCGCGATTGCTGAATTGCATGGACCAGGACTGACTGACGCTACGGACCAGCGCTATCTGGGGGCGGACAAGGCGACCAATAACACGGCTGAACTCACGGCTATAGCCGAGGCGCTCGTCTGGATCGACACGGAGGCGCCGGGACCGGGAGATACGGCCTTGCATATCTACTACGACTCCCAGTATGCAGCGGACCTAGCGACAGGGCGTACCGAGCCGCGAACCAATCAAGCGCTAGCCAAATCCGTCCAGCAACTGGTCAAGAAGGTGTCAAACACGAGGGACGTCCGGTGGACTTGGGTAAAGGGACATGCAGCGCACCCAGGCAACGAAAACGCAGACCGACTTGCAGGTCAGGGGGCGCGGGGCCAGGTGGGGTGCCAGAGTAAGAGATGGACCGAGCCGCACAGCGGCGAATTGACCAAGGAAACAGCGGAGGTCTGCCGACAGTGTGGCAAAGTGCTCCGCCACGCAGATGTGTGTGCGGGACATGAACGAGAGTGCAGTCAGGTGCCTTTGAAAGAGCTGCCGCCGCACAAGTGTCGCAAATGCAACACCGAAGTGGGCACAGGAGTCAACCGTCTATACCACGAGGCTCGCTGTAGAGGCGATGCGGAGCTGAACCTGCGATGCACGTTCTGCGATGCACTCTGTCCGACCATGGCCAAACGGACGCGCCACGAAGGCGCGTGCCTGCACGAGACGGCGCTGGCCTATACTGGCAGTGCGGGTGCGGGTGGCAGCAAGTGCATCAGGGACAAGCCAAGAAACGACTCGACCAGGCGGTCGAGCGACACAAACGCGGATGCCGAGCAAGTGAAGAACAGAACCTCACATGCCGGAAATGCAACAAAAAGTGGCCGTCTATCACACAACGACAGTCTCACGAAAGCCAATGCAGAGGACCTGGCGATGCGCAGCGAACGTGCTTGTGCTGCAACATCGTGTTTGCAAACGCGCACGATCGAAGCAAACACGAGACCCACATGAAGCGACAGAATGCGTAAATCGAACAGAAAAAAAAGCAGGGAAAGGCAGTCGTGAAGGCTGATCCGTCTTCTGCAATTACTGCCCACTGGGAAAGGTGATCGCTCAATAGGTCTTCCACGATCACGACCAACCCTTGGTTTGCTGGGTCCTGTGTTATCACAGGCGTAGGGCGGCTTCCTCAGGCGCACGGCGGCTCTCCGCTCAGCCCAGGTGTAAGCTAATAGGGCGGCAACAAAGGGAACTCTTGATAGCGTCCTCTGGCGCACCGCGGCTCTCCGCGAAACAAGAGACTCACAACAACAACAACTACACAGACACACCATACACTGACAGCGTCCTTTGGCGCAAGGCGGTATGTTATTTCCGACCGACCTAGTGCCCTCTGGCACAAAACAGCGTCCTCTGGCGCAGTGCGGCTCTCCGCAAACAGTTCAGCCGCCCCCCGGCGTACCAGGCCGCGGTTAATGTTTCGGATTTGAATTTCTGCCCCGGACCACTCCCCTACCCATTCCCCTAAATGCCCATTTTCGGAGGACTGTGATCTCACTCGAAACGGACGACCGATCCCCAACACTTTTGGCTCCTAGCTGCAAACCCACCAGAGCAAGAGCGCTGCCCAGACTTACGTCACAGAAAATATGGCTGCAGAGGCACAGATGCTGCGCAGGGACACGGATTTCCTGCTCCAACCCTACCGCCTCATTGTCCTGAACCTCCCGGAACTCAGTACTCGCTACAGCGAGCTTCAGGCTAGCCGCCAGCTCAGAGGTGCCGGATATCCTACTCCGGGCCCTCATCGCTCAGTTCGGAGCTACCCTGACCCGCCCGGCACCATTAAGGACGCATGCCACCACAGTGCGCGACGGGGTGGCGGGCCATCTGACCGCCAGCTTGGGGCAGGAGGCGGCGCAAGAGCTGGCAGGATGGCTGGTATCCGAGCCGGCACCCTTGGTCACACTGGCTCGCCACTTGACGCGCGAGACCATCATCGGGGTATACCCGACGGGCCCCAACGCCTTTCTTGTTCGCCTAACGTGGTGACACAGTACTTGCGCACCGCCGAGGGCACACCGGCTGATGCGCTCCGGGTCTTCCTAGACCGGAGGATCAGGGGAGCCGGAGGCGAAGACAAGGGAAAAGGCAAAGGCAAGCAGAAAGGCAAAGCCAAAGGCAAGGCCAACGCGCCAGAGAAGGGCAAGGGGAAGGGGCGCAAAGGCCATGCCAAGGGAAAGGGGAAGGACGGGAAGGACAAGCAGGGCCCCCGCCCCGATCGCGAGCGATCCCGGGGGCGGGAACGACGAGAACGCCGCGACGCACCCCCTGACGCCATTGAGCCCGATGCCAACATGAACGAAGCTGATGGGGTCAGGGCAGCGCTGGACGCGGCGCGGGCGGCGGCCGGGGAGGCGGCCGGCGCCCGCCCGTGAAAAGGCGGCCACACATGTTTCACCTTGGGTTTGGCAGGGGAGGCTCGAGCTTCACATGGGCACAAGCAATCCACCACCTCAGCAATAGCCTGCGTTTCCATCTCATCCTTGCTGGCACCCTCTTGTAATGGTTCCAAGGTGTTACCGCCGCAGCACGAGCCCTGACAAACCATCTTTTAATTTTTTTGGCAGATCCAAGCACACCCTGACCCGCCGCCATCCCCTAGATATTTAGACCGTTCATTAGTTCTCTCGCGCTTGACACCCTGCCTACCCACAGTTTTGGTTTCACCGAGATGTGCTGTGCCGGCCCTAGCTCTACCTGCATGCGCACTGATGGCGTTAGCCAGGCGCCTTAATGGTGCTGAAGGCTCAACGAACGAACGAACGAACTCTTTCCCCACTGGCAATCAACAAATCACACAGTTTTGGAGCAGTGGGCTGCGGGGAGACATTTGGACCAGCCGAGCTGAGTCCAAGATTCAGAACATTTGATATCTTTGCCCTTTTGTGAACACTTCCATGGAGCTAGCAAAGCCGAAGGGCAAGGGCGGGCGTTTCAAAAGATATAAAGTATACTTCTCTTTCTCATTCTTTTCTTATTTGTTTCTTTCTCTTTGTCATTATTCATTCATTCATTCGTTCGTTCGTTCGTTCGTTCGTTCGTTCGTTCGTTCGTTCCTCCATCCATCCATCCATCCATCCATCCATCCATCCATCCATCCATCCATGCATCCATGCATCCATGCATCCATGCATCCATGCATCCATGCATCCATGCATCCATGCATCCATGCATCCATGCATCCATGCATCCATGCATCCATGCATCCATGCATCCATGCATCCATGCATCCATGCATCCATGCATCCATGCATCCATGCATCCATGCATCCATGCATCCATGCATCCATGCATCCATGCATCCATGCATCCATCCATCCATCCATCCATGCATTCATTCGTTCGTTCGTTCATTCGTTCATTCATTCATTCATTCATTCTTTCTTTCTTTCTTTCTTTCTTTCTTTCTTTCTTTCTTTCTTTCTTTCTTTCAATCATTTATTCATTCATTCTTTCTTTCTTTCATTCATTCATTCATTCATTCATTCATTCATTCGTTTGTTCGTTCGTTCATTCATTCATTCGTCCATATTTTCATCCATCCATCCATCCATCCATCCGTCCGTCCGTCCGTCCGTCCGTCCGTCCGTCCGTCCGTCCGTCCTCGCAATGATCATTGATTCATTCATTCATTGATTCATTGATTCATTGTTTCATTCATTCATTCATTCAGTCAGTCAGTCAGTCAGTCTTTCTTTCTTTCTTTCTTCCTTTCTTTCTTTCTTTCTTTCTCTTTTTGTTTCTTTCTTTGTTTCTTTGTTTGTATCTATCTATCGAATCTAATCTAATCTAATGTAATTTAATCTACTCTAATCTCATCTAATCTAATCTAATCTAATTTAATCTAATATAATCTAATCTAATTTAATCTAACTTAATCTAATCTAATCTAATCTAATTTAATCTAATCTAATTTAATCTAATCTAATCTAATCTAATCTAATTTAATCTAATCTAATCTATCTATCTGGTGATGCTTGAAACAGCAAAATATGGTCAGGCGACGTCCCCGACAGCATGAGGCACATGTGCGCGCCCTCGGAACCGGCCCCAGGCATTCCCAGAACCCTCGCAACTCTTCCAGCGCATCGGAGCCGTCCTTGCAACCGCCCCGTAAGACAGATAGACAGGTAGAGCTTTGGGCCACTTTGGCTTTGGTTCAGAGAGACACCTCTGGACTGCACCGTCGCAGGAGCTTTTGGGAAGGGGTGGCCAATCCTTCGCAGCAGTGAAGACCGGCCTCTCCAACGTCCTGTCCGCGCTGAAGCTGTCGCCCAAGATGTCGGAGGACGGCCGCGGGTATGTCACCAAATATGCGGGGCCGCGCCGGGTCTTTCAAAAGGCATCCGCAGGGCACAGACCTCAATATACATATCTCAACCTCCCAATGGCAAAGCATGCTGACCCATTAGTGCTGACCCAATAGACTGAGAAGAACTTGCCTTTTAAATCAACTTTTCAGCTTGTTTTTTGAAGCTCAAAACGAGAGATGGGCAAATGCCGACCCCCTACCCCCCCCTCCCGTCCCCCCCCGCATGAGCGAATCTGGAAACTGTGGCTGATGCAATTCCCAGGGTTTGGACACTGGGATCCATGGACTGATCAGCTGGAAATCAAGTGACGTCCCTGAGCCATCAAAATCTGGGGAGGTTCTGTTCTCGGTGGGTGCCCAGGTTCACATTGGGCATGGGTCAAAACCCCGGTTAGCCCCCAGTGAACATCCCAATCCAACCACTAAAATAGACTAAAATGGGTGGTGCACATGTCCCAAATGGTACCATTGGTTTTGAACCATGAGCATATGTCGGGCAAGTCGGGCAGGAGCAGCTGTTGGCGAAGTTCAAAGAGATCGACACGGAGAGGTCAATGGGTGTTTGGGATCGTAGGTGATGGAGGGATACCCCAGTCTCCAAAACATAGAGAACTCCCCCTTGCTTCTTGGAGGATGCTGAAAGGGAAGACAAGAGAGGCCCCCAGTTCTTTGCGTCGCCGAAGATACATGAGGCTTGGTCAACCTATTTTGTAGTCTGTTGTGATGTTGGGACGGGGGCGGGGGGAGAGACCAGGGGACTACATTTTTCATGTGGATTGTGGTAACAGCATAGTTTGACCGTGACATACGTGGGCTTTGGGCACGGTAAACATGGAACCAAATTGCCATTGACAACGAGCGATGCCAATCAGCTTGCTAAAGTACAGTACGCCGACCCCCACATGATTGCGTGATTTTGCGGCAGACATATGGGCATATCTATTTCATCCCTGTTGGATGAATTTTCAAGGGCAACCGAAAGGAAACCGTCCGTCTGTAAGAACCCTCCATTCACATCAGCCGGCACAGGAATCCCAGACAAAGCCACAAAACTCACAGGGACGCAATGTTCTGGGTGTTTTCTGGTTGAGGGTAGCCCGTTTTGGTTGGTTTAATAAATCAACCATTTTTGGGTCTCCCAACACACCCATAGGATCCATCTCAGGCTCAGAGTAAAGCAAGCAAGCAAAGCTTCGCGAGCGCCCCTACTTCCAATTCTTTTGGAGGACAAGAGCGGCAAGCTGTCCAAGGAGGAGGTAGAAATGGCACTGCTTGGCCTTGGCAGGCCAGTAGGCTGAGTGGACGAAAGAGGGCGGCGATTGATTGTTGATTCTGTTGTGTTGTTTCTGCTCTTTGTTGTTCATATCATCAAACACTGATGGTGCAAGTTTCCAGAGGCCCAACCATGGCCCCCCAAATTATACTACAGTGGCCGCCCAACGCCTTTTTGGACCCTTTGCAGCACAATTTCCCGGGATTAATCCATAATCGATGCTTCATGACCCAATAAACCAGGGGTTCATAAATGGGTGTTCACATTCAACCCTTGACACATGCCAATGGGTCCATCGTTTGTCCATCACCCGATTGCAATCTTTCTTGATTCATGTGCCTCCAGGTCACAGAGTGAGATTGACCAGGAGCTGAGCAGATGGCCTCTGGAGGATGGCGTGGATTTCCCAGCCTTCCGACTGATGGTACCGCGGCCAGAAGGAGTCGAGGTGTGGCTTGTTTTGAGGTTGATACCCTTTTTCGGGGCGGTTTTCACCGGAAACCCAAAGGGAACACGCATTTTGCTCGAGACACACCCAAGTGTCCCAACAATAGATGAGATATCCCTGCAGAGCCCAAACAGGAGCAGCTTTTGGGTTCCATATTAATGGAGAGGTTTGGTGCAGCTTTGTCTCTACTGCAGTGGCAAAATGACGAGATCTCGGATGGCTCTCTATGTGTACCCTTTTGGTTGTTTCAGAGCCCTTTTTGGGCTAATGTGGAGGAGTTTCCTCGAGTCGGGGTGCTGCCTGTGGTGAAAACAAAGAGAGCCCGTCTTTCGTAGGCCTTCTTCCTGATCCCCACCAAGTGAGAAGCTGTGTTGGTGAGGACCCGCAGCACGAAACGATTCGGGTCTGCGCGGGGGGGGGGGGGGTTCGGGGCAAAAATTGTTTGCTTCAGCCTGACTGTAACGGAAAGTATGCTTCAAGTCCTGGGGGGGGCAAGCGCGCCCGTCCACGTGCACCTTGTCAGCACTGCACACACGCCCAAATGATAAGCTGCACAAACGCAAGAATGACTCTTTCACTACCTGAATCAAGCACCCTTCCTTCTTGGATTCAGCTTTGGGGTGATGTTTAAGGCTTCGGGCCCATGAGAAGTTTCCCAGAATTCGGTCAGGGCTCCTTCCCACGTGAGCGAGTGCTGCCTTCAGGTGAAGCCGGTCAGAACGAGCTGGATGAAGCTGGGCCTAAAGGACTCACTGAGAGGGGGGGGGTGCATAGAGGCAGCAGCTGGTTTTGTTGTGGCAGACTCACTCTAAGGTGGGGGTTGGCCCTCAACAAATGTCGTACCCACTCACTTTTGTCATATGACACCGGTTTGTTGGTCACGTCGGGTTAGCTACTTGTAAACAAATCCGGCCGTTGGCCATTTCTGGCTTCAGTTGCGTGGGTGGGTTTCTGGATTCGATTGATCTCAGTTTGGTTTTAATTGAGCAGACCAGTGGAGTCCACGTATTAACAAGCACACCTAGGATCTGTTCTGGAGGACCTTGGTTTTGGAAGAGCCCGGTGCGGAAAAGACCCCAGATTTGGTAGCGCTGTTGAACCTGAAGCTGGAGCGCCCTTCAAAACCTCGAAAGCACTGCGATACACGCACGCGATTCTGCGCGCAGGACTCTGAGCTTCGGGACGCCTTCGACCTCATCGACACCGACCGCTGCGGAAGTCTGCTGGGCCGGGAGGAGGTGGGACTCCGAAAGTCAGTGGGGGCCCTGTTTTGGTTTTGCCGACAAAGACCCAGCCTGTAAATTGGTATTTCGTAGTTTTTTTTGGAGTACCAAAGTTGTTCCTGAACGGGTGGTCTCTCTGATTTCCCCTGTCAGGTGGAAGATGCGCTGAGGCAGCTGGGCAAAAGCGAGAAGCAGATCCAGCAGCTGGCAGCTTGACGGTCGGCAATGGTGCATGCATTGTCAATGCGTCGGCAGCACACCTGTATATGGGTTGCTGTCAAAAGAGGGGGACTCCCCCCAAATATTGCCAATGCTTGGTTTTCCTTTTGATGTCCCCAACCAGCCCCCAAAAACCAGGGGTAATTCTCCCCCACAAAGAGGGCGCCCCGGCAATTACGCTCACAAAAACAGGACACTCCTAAGCCTAAGCCGTCGGAAGGCGGCGCAGCTGGCAGTGGACGAGGTCGTGGGCTTCGAGGCCTTTGCGCGCCTGGCGCGAGGCAGCGATTCCGCAAAAAGCTTCCGTCGGCCCCGGCTGTCTCTGGCGCCTCGGCGGCCTTGGCGGCCTTGGCGGCCTTGGCAGTTCATTTGGGGGGGGGGAGGAATTGGAGGTTTGGTGCTTTTGTGGTTCCTACTTCTGTTTTCAAAAGGGAGGTTTTAGAAAGATTCGGATGAAGTGGTTTCCGTTGAGCACAGAGGGTTTTGCTTTAGGTTCCGGCCCTTTGTCCTTTTCAGCGCCTTCACCTGTCGGTTTTTTTCCTCGCGCCGTTGAGGCCAATCCTTTCTCCAGTCCAAAGTTGACGGAGGAGCGCGGGATTCTCCAAGTCGATCCTTGGGAAGCATCCCTTCGTACGGACGGCCAGGTTTCACCTCCATTTAGGTGCTTCCCCAAAAGAAGCACCTCCTTTCGAAAATGCATTCGTTGACAACACCTCGGAGCCTTGTCAGCATGACGCGCCAGAAGCGCTGGTTTTTCTCCTCGAGTAGATCCCTTGCTCTCACTCCCTATGATTTGGGGTCATCTCTTTTTGGGACCAACAGTGGCGGTGGGCCTCGGTTCTCCTTCAGCAAACGACCCCGGAAAGCATACCGACTCCAAAAACGGACACATGCACTTGCTTTTCTCGTAAGAGTGGTTGGTGGAGATACACTCATCTGTTCATCTGCAACCGGACAACAATCATTTGTAGAGGTTCCTCTTTGGGGGGGTTTATGTTCATCAGAAGAGTGAGTCCCGAGTGTAAATCTCTAGGAGCAGCTACGTGAGAAGTTCCTGGAGATGGATGACGGGAGCGGCCTGCTGTCACGGGAGGCTGCTCTGGAGGCAGCTGTCCAACATGTCAGGGAGATCCTTCTTTTTTGAATATTTTGAATATATTATCTGGCTTACCGCCGTTCCCCTAAAACGGATATTAGACACATCTCCTGGGGCAAAGCTAAAGTGAGTTGTCCTCTTGTGAGATGTTCAAGGGCACCCGTGCTCTCGGCGATTTTTTCCCCAGATAGCTGAAAGCTATAGGGGTTCTAACTTCTAATAAAGAGGGGGAAGTGATTTGCGAGATTGATGGGCTGGTGCTAAGGGGCGTGCAGTTTGGGGTGCTGGTTTTTGCGGATTGGGGTGCTGTTTGAGGTGCTGATGGCAGTGCGGGCGCATCTTTTCAAGATTGACGGTAGGGTGCTAGGGGGCATGCAGTTTGGGGGTGCTGGTGCAGGTGCTGTTTTGGGGGTGACGGTGTTTTTGCATCTTGACGGTAGGGTGCACGGGGGCATGCAGTTTGGGGTGCTGGTGCTGGTGGTGTTTTGGGATGCTGTTTGGGGAGCTGTTTGAGGTGCTGGTGACGGTGCGGGCGCAATTTGCGATATTGACGCCCGGGTGCTATCGGGCATGCAGGTGACGGTGCAGGCACATTTTTGCATCTTGACGGTAGGGTGCAAGGGGGCATGCAGCTTGGGGTGCTGGTGCAGGTGGCGTTTTGGGATGCTGTTTGGGGTGCGGCTGGGTGTTTGGGGGGGTGCTGTTTGGGGTGCTCTTAGGGCGACGGTGCAGGCGCATTTTTGCGAGATTGACGGCAGGGTGCAGGGGGCATGCAGTTTGGGGTGCTGGTGCAGGTGCTGTTTTGGGATGCTGTTTGGGGTGCTGTTGGAGGTGCTAGTGATGGCGCGGGTGCTCGATTGACGGCCGGGTGCTGTTTGGGACGCTCTTCGGGGGGTGCTGTTGGAGGTGCTGGTGTGCAATCATTGCTATCTGGGGTCTATGCTGGTGTAATTTTGGTTTTTCCCCAGATAGCTGAAAGCTTCAAGGGTTCTAACTTCTAATAAAAGAAGGGAAAGTGATTTGCGAGATTGACGGCTGGGTGCTAGAGGGCATGCAGTTTGGGGTTTTGCTGTAGGTGCTGTTTAGGGTTCTGTTTGAGCTGCTGGTGATGGTGCGAGCGCAGTTTATTTGGATTGACAGCAGGGTGCTAAGGCATGCAGTTTGGGTGCTGGTGCAGGTGCTGTTTTGGGGTGTGCAGGTCACAGTGCGGGCACACTTTTGCAAGATCGACAGCAGGGTGCTAGGGGGCATGCAGTCTGGGGTGGTGCAAGTACATATTTGCGAGATTGACGGCCGGGTGGTTTGGGAGTGCCGTTTGGGGTGCTGTTCGGGGTGATGGTGCGGATGGTGTTGAGGGGCTGGTGACGAGCGTGGCGTTTTGCGAGATTGACGCTGGTGCAGGTGCTGTTTTTTGGGGGCTGTTGACGGCCAGGGGTGTTTTTGCGAGATTGACGGCAGGGTTCTAAGGGGCATGCAATTTGGGGATTCTTGTGCAGGTGCTACAATATTTTTGGGATGCTGTTTGGTGTTGGTTGAGGTGCTCTTCGGGCAGTGCTGCTAGAGGTGCTGGCGTACTGTCGTTGGCACATGTTGCGCTATCTGGGGTCTATGCTGGTGTAATGCTTGTGTGGAGCATGTTTGAACCGTGTAGTTCCTCGCAAGAGGTAACCTGCTGCAATTGTAGCAGATTCACCTCCTTTCTTTTGCAATGCAGCCAGATGGGTTCACCGCACTTTGAGGCCCAACTGTCATCAAACGTCAGTGACAGAAGTTCTGATCTTGGCCGGGTCAACGTTTATACACATATCTGTTCTCCAATTCCAATGGCTGTCGGAGTTGTGAGCAGTCATTGGATATGGGTTGCCCTTCCACCATCTTCCACCAACCAACCTAGAATCTGACTGACGCTACCTTAAAGACCCCTTTTCCTCTTCAAGGAGCCTTCTGTTGTTTCCTTTGAGCATTTATCCACCTTTGTCCCTAGCATTCAACCAGTACTCCGCTTTCCCTTGAAGGATACCCATTCCAGGCCCTCCGCCTTTGCTTTCAGCGGGAAGTGGGGCGGCCCCCCCCCTTTGGCAGGCGCTGGCCCAGCTACGGGTGCCGCTAAACCGGATCGAGGAGGCGACGGTGGACTTTGAGACCTTCAAGCGCCGCGGTTCAAAATCAATCCTTGCGGCCTCATGCCAGATGGTGGTGCCCCTCGCTGTGTCCGCATTCTGGATGATGATTCCAAACCATCTCCAGGAAATTCGCCAGGAATCTTGCCACTGGATGTGGGTATTTGGCGAAGCGAATTGGAGGGCCTTTTTTTTTAGTTTTGTTTTTTTTTCTTTCCCTTTTTTTGCGAGTTTTTTTTGTTTTTCAGGGTGGGTGGCTTTTCGGCTTTTTGGCTTTTGTGGGTTCTTGTGGCTTTTGTGGCTTTTCATTTTGCATCCCTGCATTCACAGTTCCGCTGTGGCTTTTGGCGGCTTTCTGGCTTTGGCTTTTCGCATCCTCTGTTTTCCCAGTTGGTTTTTGGCCGTGGCTTCCTGCATCCTCAGCATCGCAAGTTCCTCTTTGGTGCCCCCGCCACCCCCCTGTCGATTAAAATGCACGCCTAATTGAATCATCACTTTTTCGATCATCATGCAACAGCTACTTTTTAGATTCTTTGCCCCTAATTTTTCGATCCACTTCTTCAATCATCACCCCCCCCCCCCCCCGCTATTTTTTAGACTTTTTGTCCTAATTGAATCGTCACTTTTTCGATCATCATGGGGGGGGGCTGCGCTGCCGCCCCCCGCGCCTTTAATTGAATCATCACTTTTTCAATCATCATGGGGGGGGGCTGCCGCGAACTCCAACCCCCCCGCTACGTTTTAGGTGTTTTACAGGGATTAGTTTGGAGCCTTGCCGCAGAGGAACTGATGATGCTGAAGATGCAGGAAGTCAAGACCCTCGATTTGCTGGTGATGCTGGGGATGTTGGCTGGACATGCGGGGGATGTTGAAAACGATGCTCATGATGTTGACGGACTAGCTCAAAATACGTTTTCGCGAGAAGGACGGAAAACAAAAAACATATTCCAAAAATAGAACAACAAAAACCCAAATTAAATCTCGACCATCCCAGAACACATCCGCAGTACCCCCCTTCCCCCCCTCCCACCCCCCTGCCCCCCTGTCCGCCCATTTTGAGCAGGCTGGTCAAAACCAATGGTATCATTTTGGGGTATAGGTGCACTACCCGTCTTAGAACCTATTTGAGTGGTTGGATTGGGATGTTCACTGGGGGCTCACCAGGGTTTTGACCCATGGCCAGTCAGGGTGTGCTTGCTGAGGTCGCTGGCTCGGCCCAGGTCGGCCTGGCAAGAGGCGGGCCGCTCCTTCAGGGAAACCGTGGGGGACTTCTTCGGCGCCCCGGCGTCGTTTTTTCCTTCTTTTTCTTCTTCTTTTTTTTCCATTTTCCTTTTTCCCCCCCCCCCCCCTTTTTTCCGTGTTTGGGCGACGGGCTCGAAAAGATGTGGTCTTGGTCTTAAAATAGGGGACCCTCAAAAATTGGGTGGCTACTTTCCACCTGTTTCCTTTTAAAACCAGCTCAAGAAAGGTACCATCACAAAAAGACACACCCATGTTTTTGCGAGCTTCCTGGGGTGAAGGATAGGGGCGCCATTTTTGGGGAGAACGAACTGTTCCCAAAGCACTAGCAATACGGTGAACTTTTGACGCGAGGTCAGTTGGGCTAACAGAAATATGTTTGGAATCTTGGAATTTCCAATTGTGGATGTCAGTTTTCATTGGTCAGGTCTTTTTTTTTGGTTCTGGTTAGGGTTATCAAAGTCAGAAACAAAAACAAGTTGCTTTGAGGGCAGTTTCTTTACTTTGAAGGCATGGCAATCATTTCTCAGGGCTTTCTTGGGGTGATGTGTGCACCGCTGCGCTGCCAAAGATCTTGGGTCACATCTCGCAGAAGAGACACTCGAGAGTTGAGAGCCAAGCCCTCGTTCTTCCATAGCCGCTGAGCTTTTGCCCCTCGCATATTTGTAGTTTCCATCATGCTCCCAGCAAGCACTTCTGGCTACGGGGCCAGCATGGTTGTGGAAAAAAGGGGCTTGAAAGTTGACACTTTCTGCGAGTGCATATAGCCACGAAAGAGTTGATCCCAAAGCGTGGTTGGGTGGGAACGAAGGGAGTAAAACTGGTAGGGAGTGGGTCGGAGAGTTTCCCGCGCACTGAGGTAGTTTCTCCGATGAAGAGCTACGTGACGCGTTCGACAAGATCGACGCGGACCGAAGCCGGTCGAGAAGGCAGCTGCCCACATGGTTTCAAGGTTTGATCCCTGGACCCTTTACGGGTTTTCGCCTGGAATTTTAAAATATCACGTGAGGTGTAGATGCTCGAGTTGTGATCTTACATGTAGTCTTTAATTGGACCCACATGGATGACAACAGACACGGTTAAACCGCAGATGGGTCTCTACGTTAGTTAGGCCGACTACTCTTCCCATTGCTTGGCGGGCTTGTATTTTGGCTTTGGGTGCAAACGTGTTGTCTTCAAATGGGTGAACCTGCAAAAGAGGTTGGTCTTTGGCCAGGCAAAAAACCGAATTACAAGATACATCTAAATCGCCATGGCTTCAAATTGGGAGATGAGCCCCGACTGGCCCAGGCTCTGCAGATTGGAGGTCGCTTTTTGCAGGGCCGCTTGCTCCCCTTGCACGACGGGTTCTTGGCAGCTTGTCCTATCCAAACCTATCCAGTTACGTCGACCAGTTGCTGCTATCAGACTGTTTGAACAGATGCTGGTCCTTGATCCTTCAACCCTTTCCTCATGGAATTTCAGGGGGGGGTGGCGTTGACCTCAATCGGAAGTATCCTTTATGGGGGTACCCTTGTTGGGGTGGTTTCAACGGGCGATTGAAGGACAAGAAGGACACCTGCGATTTAAAGAAGTCACTCATTTCATGAGACACCTGGTGTGTTTGCAGGACAAAAGCGGCACGCTGGAGCGCCTTCGCTGCACTCGGCTTTCAGCCTTAAAGGTTGGATTTGTATCGTTCATCCGGAAAGTTACTTATCAGAGGGGACTTTTTGGGCGGATCCTGAATGCTTGAAGTGCATCTTGTTTGACCACCGTAAAAAGGACGGGAGGAACACCTCCCCAAAAAACACACACAAGGAAAAAGAAAAGGCCAGAAGCAGCAATTTCATTGTTGACAGGCTGGTGCCAGCCACTGGCCAACAATCCAAAAAAGGACTAGCAATCTCCCAGAAATGCCAAAAAACGGTTCTGGATGAAGTATATGATCGAGGCTGTCCACAAAGGGGGAGTGGTTTGAAGGATAATGTGGAACACATGTTTGCTACGACCTCATTAGGCCTCATGTATTTCGCTGGCTTCACCAGAAACCGCTGCACAATAGAGAGGCACCGCACAACCATCAAACCACACTTCCCTTAAATTTCCCACCCATAACCATATTCTTTTTGTCCCTCGTCCGACCTCCGGCCCCGTCGCTTTCGCACCGAGGAAGCCGGAGCTGGGCGCGGCCTTGCGGGAGATGGGCCAGAGCGAGGCCCGGATCGGGCGCCTGCTGAATGAGATCGAGGACGAGAAAGCCCTGGCGCCTAGGATCGATCGGCGCGTTTTTTGTTTTTTGTTTTCTTTTTTGGCAGCGGGGTGATTCGACGGTGGATCTGAGAAAATGGTCGTTGCGTTTTTTCAGGAGCCTCCCACATGGGCTTCGGGTTTAGACGCCACCCAAAAGGGGGGCACGCGAAAAAAGCACATCAGACAAGTTTTTTTGTGGTCTGTGGGATGCGTCAGAATCCCGCCAAAAGGGATCTTAAGGGAAGCAGTATGAGTTGCATAAATCGATCAGCTAGCTTTGCTTTGGCTCTCTCATGTCCTTGTTTTGGACCGTCAACAGTGGCAGAATTCATTGGAACCCAACAGTAGATTGATTATCCTTGTGGCAGAACTCCAGTGACCTTGGCTTGTTTTTGGCTAAGGCAAGCCATACATCACGTGCCCAGGAGCAAATCCACCCTAAGCAAAAGGTGCCTTGCGAACTGACGGGTGGCCTCAGCCTGCATTGGAGCTTCAGTCTGTTGAGAACTGTGCGCTTCTGCGTCCAACACATGGGTTTGTCTCGAACTTTGGGAACCCCCGTCCTTTTCTTTGTTTCTCTTTAAAACTACCCCAACAAGGGTACCAACTCCAAAAACAAAAACAGCCATGTTTGCATTTTCGGCTGGTGCTATTTTTTGCAGGTGGGTGAATCTAGTTCTTACCCCCTGGCAAAACGTTGCACCAAGGCCCAGGGCTAGGAAAAGGCGAACAGTGGGCATGAGGCTCCCTCCCCCCATGGGATGCGCCGCTGAGGATTTCCAAGATTTCCAGGAATTGGCAGCTTGTCAGCAGAGATGCCTTCCTTTTGCAGAGTCCAGTATATGCTTTGAGCCTAAGATGGCAATTGGCTTCTTTGGGAGCAGTCACGCTGACTCGAAAAAGTGTGTCAGCTTTCGTGATGGTGAGCAAGAGGGCGTGCTGCTGTTCGTGGCTGGTACCCTTCTTGTCGAGCCAGCTCAAGCCGATCATGAACCTTCCTGCCTTTCCTTTAGCGTTTGCCAAGGCTGTTTCGCGGGGGTTGTCAAGAATGGGGCCCGATACCCCTTGCGCCCCCCTGTCGGCTTTTGCGCCCGGTCGACAGCTGAGGTTAAGCCGCGGCACTCCCTATTCCGGAGCCAGGCCAAAAAGAAGAGCTGTGGATTTCAACACATTTTCTTGCATTGCCCAACATGGTCCGAAACACGTTGATTTTTTTTTTGGAAGCCCTGAATAGGTGTAATCTCCCAGGTGCCTAGTAATCTCGAAGATGAAATGCCGGAAACCATGGCTCGTTTCCCCATGATTTCGGACTTACTGGCCAAGGCCAATTGGCTTGTGGAAATCACCAAAACAAATGGGATTTAAGCCCCGCCCGTTTTTTTTTTGGAATTCATGGCCGACACAGAGCTGAGTGAGGCCTTCAAAACGAGACCGAATGGCTGCGCGCGCTAACCGCTTGGCTCAGTATCCTTCGCCCCGCTATACTCACTTTGCACACCATGCCTGATCTGCAGACTGTTTTTTTTCAGGTGCCTTCCTGCTCCTACGTCATTAGGAATGATCAGCACATGTGCCTGTGTGGCCTTGACAAGCACAAGCGCAGAAGGCCAATCAATGTAGCACTTGACCTTTCTAGCCTCGGCATGGAGCCTGTGGAGTACATCAAGCGAATTCGTGCCAACAAGGCGAGGCCTTGTCGCAGACCGCAATGTGCCCCGCGTCTCTTTTTGACACATACCGTGGATGGAAGAAATCCTGCACCACTTTGAAGCCATGGGAAACCATTTCTTGTTGGTATTTGCAGGGGAATCGAATCATTCCAGTTTTTTTTTAGGTGGTGCAAGATTTCGTCAATCCACAGCTCCACCCAATCACCCCGATGGGAGGGACATGTGACATGGGGGAAGCTAGTTGGCGCTTGGTGAACAGTCCTGTGATGCTAGGTCCCGAGACCCAAATGCAATGCCTCTCAAACACACATATATATATATATATACATATATACATATATATATATATATATGTGTATATATATATATATACATATATTTAGTTTTCTTTCTTTTCATTCTTTCTTGCTTTCTGTCTTGTCTGTGGGGTTTGTTTTGACAAGCCACTGGGAAACCACCTGTCCCACTCCAAACTCAGTTCGGTTCTTGCATTTGCCGCTTTGCAGGGCACTCCAGATCAGGTGGCCGGCGACTTCGAGGCTTCGGCTCTTTCCCCGGTCTTCTGCCTGGGTGTGGCTCAAAATTTCACGCGAGGGGCAAACCGCAGGTTTCGGTTTCCAGGTTTCCACTTACCAGGGTTGGTACCGGTTTTTTGAGCAGCCTTATGGCAAAGTTCCATTTCCCCGGGATTTGATGTGCCTCGTTTGTCTTAATACCGACGGGCTGCTCAACTGCGTTTGATTGTGTGTCCTCCAAATTCGGGGATGCTGAAGAGAACCCTTCGGAGGCTTCCCAAGCATGCCATAGTGCCCCACAGCTTGAAGCCTGAGGCTGTGGGGCAAGACGCACCGAACGGAGGTGACTCGTTGTAAACTGGCAGGGTGAAGTCAACATCAGTGGCAACCATGAGATTGGCATGTCTTGTTTTGAGGGTACCTTTCTTTTTTGCAAGCCACATTTCGCACGGATCTGGAGACACGCCCAAGATTGTTTGTAGTCTTCCTTGCAAGGCACAAATTGCAAAGGTAGGCGGAAGCGGCACAAGGGCACAATGCAGCCGTTAGCCTTGAAAAAGAAGCGCTCAGCGGCTTTGCAGCGATGGGGTTCTGGAACTTCGCGGCGACCACCCAGGCCGCTGCTGTTCGGGGCGTTGCGATTCCCCAATCTGGCTCAACTTTCCAACACAACTTCTTGAGAAAAGTAAAGTAGACCAACATGGGAAGTGTGCTTTGGCAGGGAGTCTCGAGGAGATGCTGGGAGTTCGATGACTAAACCAACAGTTCGGCGACGCCCAGTCAGGTTGGTAAGGGAAAAGGAACCCCATTGAGACACGCCCAGTTCTTCCTCTATGGCAAGCGCCACTTCACCAGAACTGGCTGGGAAAGTCACAAGGCCAAGTACGAGCAGCCGGACCGAGATCGGGAGGGAGCGAGATGGGAATTTGGCCTGGAGACTTTTTTCCTTTTTATTATGTATCTATTTGTATCTATCTATCCTTCTATTTGTTTATGTTTGTTGTTGTTTATGTATTTGTGGTTTTGTCTTTGTTCTCTTACACTTGTTGTTTGTTTTTCGCGGGCGACGGGCTTGCGGGATAGCACTTTGCTTGGGGAGATTGGAGAGAAGGGGCTTCCAGCATGAGTTTCAGGGGAGGGGCTGCATATGTTCGCACTATTTGTTCTGGGTAGGGAGTATGGGCTTCATAAGTTCAGCTTTCCTTTAGTTGGTGATTTGGATTGCTGAGTTGGAGGTTGGGGGGTGATTTCCCGAACCAGGGTCTCAAATCCTTGAAAATATAGTCCGAAACCATCAACTTGGGGAAATTTAGAAGTGGCACTCTCAACGCTCACATGCACATGTGTGCTTGAAGCTTGACGGCTTGCAGAACCACTGCACGTGCATGCAGTTATATATACAGTATCCCTACCTCATGCTGAGTGTATTGGTAATCAAAGGAACCCGGTCGCTGAAACCGATGGCAAACGAATCCTCTATTGAACGGCCTACTGCCACGCAGGTTGGACTGATGCATCCCCCTGTATATTGCTTTGGTATTTGTAGCAGAATTCTGGCACGGGGACGGCCGCCAGGAGCTGCTGGAGACGGTCGATCTAAAGGGCCAGGTCTTCATTGTGATGCTCGGATTGAGAAGATACTTCTCGGATGTCAACGGGGAGGTCTCCCTGTTGACTTGTAGAGAAATAAAGGGAACTTTCTTGAAGTCTTCCCTTGTTTGCAGCTTTGCTGCAAGGTTGCTCATCAGGGAAGCTAAGGGAAGGGACACATGAGACCAAGCTGCATCGTGTGAGCAACCTTGAGCATAGGGGGGTGCAGCAATTGCAAAGCGGCCCAATTATCTGCTTTTTCCCCTGCAGGTCCTTGGATGCGTTAATCTCCTTGAGCAATCGGGATCCCATGTCTCAATGCCAAGGCACATTGTTCAACACACTTGCTTCATGCACCTGCAGTCATAAACAATGTTTTGCATTTGACACACGCAAAGGTCAATTTTGCAAACGTCCCCATTCACTTTTTTTGCGGTTGAAGGGAAAAAGGACGCCGGTATCATGTTTCCATTCGGACACACACGCACACACACATACACACACGCAACCATTTTTGGTGGAACTGAGTCTGGTTCATGGTAGCGGTAGCGACGTTCAGGACGGGCGCCAACTCTGGCATCGGCAAGGAGATCTCGCAGTTCCTGGCGACCAAAGGTGGGCTGCGAGAATCCAATCGCGAGGTCGAACACGGGGTCCTGGTGGGCCTCAAAAAACGGGAGGGCCAACACGGCGTCGATAATGTGGCCAAATGCGTGAGAAGGTGCGTGTGGTAAACTGTCCCATCCCCAAAGGGATGGGTTCAAGGGAAACAAGCCGAGGAAATCCAACTTTGCCAACCAACTATTACATCAGCGGGCAAGAACCATCACCATCGGCCAAATCTCATCTACCCTCAAGCGGTGAATGAAGGTTGAGACCGATGCGATTGCGATAGACACGGGATCTCAGTTGAATCCACCACTCAAACACTTCAAACTGAAACGAGGGAGAGGGAGGTGACGATACCTTTCTTCAGAGTGCTTATGAGGGCCGAAGGCTTCCTGATTTGGCTTTATTTTGGCCTATTTACTTATTTGGCCTAGCTTGTGGGAGGGCCTTCGGGCAGTTTGATTGCGGACCCGGCAGGGGCGAATGTCTACATGATCTGCCGAAGCAAGGAGCGAGCAGAGGCGGCAAAAGCAGAGATCGTGGCAGCAGGAGGGAAGTCGTGCTGTTGAGACGTTGTGGTGCGGTGGATCTGGGGTGCTTATATGCCCTCTTTTTGTGGATTCAAACCTTGCCCATTTGGTCCCTTTTTGTATAATTTTAGTCTCTTCTTGGTGGGGTGATGGGGGGACACAACGGGGCGGATGCTAACACAAGACACAAGATGGAAACGGGACAAGATGGAAACCCTCCGAGTTACTGAAAGAATTTGTCAAGATCTCGTGACTGGATGCGGTTCGCTGAATTTCTATACAAATGGGGGTCCACCGTATCTCTGGGTGCAAGGGGCCTTTCCCAAGTCCAAACGTGTCCACTCCCTGAGATACAGCTGAGGTGTTCGATCAGGGACACGCATGATTCTGGCTAACCCTGATTTCTCGACTTGGCACTTTGGGTGTCCTGTTTTGGGTGGGAGGAAATGCGGAGGGCCGGGTCCACGTGCTACTGGCGGACCTCAGCCTCGAGGCGGCGTCGCGCGTGTCCGAAAAGGAAAATCAGCTTGTGTTGAATGGCGGTTCAAGGGAAAGCAACAGGAAGGCTGGAGGTGTGCACCCCTTTTTCGGAAATACCCTTTCAACACATCTCCTGACACTGCAAAAAGGAGCCCATCCAACTGGTGGGTGTGTTCCAGGTTCCTTGCCACAGCTCTGTTTTGACGCACAGCCATAGCGCAGGACATACACAAAATTCGGACCCTGCCCTGCCCCCCCCACCCACTAGCAGGTCTTAGAGGAGTGATCTGAAACCCGATGCTTCACTATTTCGGGGGGGGGGGGGTCCAACAAAAAAACACCGCTGAACATGCAAGGGAGTTCAACATGACCTCCGTGACCCATGTGAACGATCTGGCAACCTGACAATCCCCAAAGCAGGCTCACAGCAGATTAGGTGAGTGTTTCCTCAAACCTTGCCGGCACCCAACAATTGGAAAGGAAAGGAGGTCAACTTTTTGGGCAGGATTGCCTCTTGGCCCCTTGTGTGTAAATAGAGGGGGTGGTTGGATGCATCCCCTTCTTCAGACAGCACTGCTGATATGATTGGACGTGCTGACGCCAGGTGGTTCGGTGCAGGACTTGGCATCTAGCAAGATTATTATTTCAGTTCGCAGCGAGCTCGCCCCAAGTTCACCCATCCCCCATGGCCTTTGATCGGAGATCTCGTTTCCTGTTTGTGAATCATACACATTTGTGCTGTTCTCATGAGACATCAACAGAAAAGCCATGGCCGATCCACACCTTTGGCCAGAATTGGTTTCGATTTGGCGAAGATCCAAGCGGCCGGTCACGGCTTGGGACCGTCGGAGGCGGACGTGCGCCGCGTGTGGGACGAGTTCTGCGCGCACCGCATGCAGCAAGGCCGGGGCTCCGAGAATGCTTAGAGCTGAGGCGGACCCAGATGGATGGCAGGGCTGGTCCATGAGCCATAGGTGGCCTTTTTAGGTTGGTTTGGTTAAAAATAGATGGCACCGGTTTAGATGGGGTTTATTCCAATTACCAGGGCCATCTATTTTTCCAAAAGGCCACCTTTGCCATGAGCCCTTTACCAGGGTGTCCAACAAATTATACGGGTTTCCTACCAAGGGAACTATGACCATGACCCACGCAGGGAGTTCTGACCATAGCACATGCTACTCTTTTTGATGGTATGTGCTTTGGGGGCGTTCCAAGGGAAACCACAGGGACACCATCAAAAAGAAATCCCCATAGGCAATGCTCCAACCCGGAAAAGTGTTTCAGTGGTGTCGTTTTTCAGCCAGCCAACATGGGGCGACGACTTTGAGTGCGTTCGCCACAAATCATTGTTAGGTCCAGCCCCATTTGGGGTTTTGGTTTAGTGTCCTTTCGTTTTCCTTTGGTTTCCCTTTGGCGTCCCTTTGGTCCCTTTTTGGTGTCCCTTTGTTAGCGACCCCCGGAGGGTGCCACCAGCAGTGTTTTGTGGTCCGAGGCAGTGACGGAGTGCACCTGAACGGCTTGGTCTGCAATGCAGGCCGAAGAGTCAGGTTTCCCTCCCCTACCACAATGTTGTTTGGGATTCTTTCTGAATCTGCAGTGTGTTGTTTCTCAAAAGGAACCTCCTCGAACAAGGGTTGGTTTTTGGCTTCCGTGCCAATCTGAAGGAGAATGCCTCCACAGATTTCGATTGGACGTCTTGACGCGAAATCCATCTGCGCTGTGGCCTGGATGTAGATTGCTGGGGCGTCGGATCGTGTGCTGCTGTCACACGCCTACAAATCCTTCAGCACAGGGTTCCGAGCGAGAATGTGGAGCTTGGGCAGATCATAGGATTGCTTTCAGGAGCTTCGCGTGGTTTCCTTCTGTCCGCCAAGTCCACTACCCGCCTTGGGAGTTGCGGGTGTGTGTGTGTGTGTGTGTGTGCGGGGGCATGGGAAGGGGCGAAGGAGTTGAAGTCTCGTAGGCGCCTTGTCCAACTCGAAGACGCTGACCTCGGAGGGGGTGGAGCTCACCTTCGCGGCGCACCTGCTCTTTGGCCGGGACCCCGACTCGGATCGACCGGACCTGGGGGACCGACCGAGGAACCGGTTCCCTATGGCAAGGTGTCAAGAACTTCCCGCCTTGAAACCATCAACCATGGAGCAGTTTCATGTTGCCACTCAAAGGGTTTTGCTTGAACTGGTGCCATGTTTGGGCAGGAATATGGTGACACCTGCAGAGTGGTGCGTGATGTCATCGGAAGAGGTGTCTGGTGCAAGCCTCCGCTGGGTTGCCGAGTTGTTTGAGACCTCCCACAGTGTAGGGCCAAGGGCATTGCATGCTCAGAAGTCTTCAAGGCAGACACATGCAAACAAGCCGGAGATGTTGGGACACATGCAGAATGACCAGTGAAGCAGTAGACAAATCATGTTAGCAAATTGAAAACAGATCCCAACTTCAATTCTGTCACTGGGAACCCTTGGCTAGCCAAAGTTCTGACACCTTGGCCGCAGATCTGCTCGTTTCTCCAGCCCGGGGGGCACAGCCCTAGGCACGTATCTGCTGGGATCTCTGGCTATGCCCTGCTTGGAAGCCACACAGCAGTCCAGATTGGTGCGCTGGGTTCGGGTTTCGGCCGCGTCGCAGCATGCATTGTGCGCCATTGTGGGACGGGTGTGCTAGGAGTCGGGAATGTGAGTGCTTGCCCCCTGGCATCATAGGTTCTGCGAGGAGTGTGGTTATGGACCTGACGCTGATGCATGCTTGACTTGTCAGCAGTCATTGACAGCAAAAAGGAAACGCAACGAACAGTGCGCAGCAATAGAGCTTTTGGGACCCTAGCAGCCTTACCAGCTGCAAACACGACGTGTCTGGGTGTGTAGACAAGGAGGTGACAGTGTGGAGGGAACGGTCACCAAACGATCAGGAATTCAGGATTGCTCACCAGAATGCCGGGACAAGTTCCCCATGTTTTGACTTTCAACAATCATGGAAGCTGGGGAAGGGCGGGAAGGCTACCGTTAGTGTGGGGAACCCCCCGGCCACAGCTGTTGGGTGCTTCTCAAAGTAGGCCCCATAAAATAGTTGGTTTTCCTTCTGGCGTTGTTTTAGATCATATATATATATATGTATACATAGATTATATATATATATATACATGTACATATATATATATATATGGTCCCGTGTTCCGTGTTGCTACCCCCCCCCCCCCCCATATGGTATGGTCCCCCAGGACCCCCCCCCCCCGCCCGAGACCCCAAGCCCCCGGATCCTGGCACCTACGGTCCCACCCCCACCCCGACCCCCTGAACTTGCACCCCGACACCCCGGCACCCCCACCCCAGGACAAGCCAACCCGCAGCCAACCATAAACCAACCCTAAACTAACCCTAAACCAACCCTAAATACACCCTAAACCAAACCCTAAACCGTAGACCTCTAAACCTAAACCAACCCTAAATCAACATAAACCTACCCTAAACGAACGCTAAACCAACCCTAAACTAACCCCAAATACACCCTAAACCAATCCCTAAACAATAAACCCTAAACCTAAACCAACCCTAAACCAGCCCTAAATACACCCTAAACCAAACCCTAAACCAAACCCTAAACCGTACACCTCTAAACCTAAACCAACCCTAAACCAACCCTAAATCAACATAAATCAACCTAAATCAACCCTGAACCAACCCTAAACTAACCCTAAATACACCCTAAATATACCCTAAACCAATTCTAAACCAACCCTAAACCACCACAACCCAACCACAGGACCACAACCACAGGGGGGGGGGGGGTACTTGTCTGACCCATGACCATTGGGGGGGGAGGGGGGGGGCTGGCAACGCTGTACCATATATATATATATATTGAGTATATGTAGATACATTGTGCATATAAGTATAAACCAGAAGGTTCTCCTTGCCATTTTGAGAACCCATTGTTTGGGGTATGCTTCGCCCTGGTCAGGTGGTGGTGAGCAGCGGTGGCATGTACAACAGCGCCTTCCCCTCCTGGGAGGACGCCACAGCCACAGGCGGAGTCGAAAGGTATCCCCTTCGGTGGAATATGGGTATGGGTCAACATTAAACCACCGGACGGCAAGTTCTAGTCCATGTTTCCATTTGCCATGTTTCCATTTTGGGTACATATTTTTGACCCATGGCGCCGTTTTGTTGAGGGCTCCATTTTTGAAATGGTTGGACAGGGGATTCAAAGGGAGGTGCCTGGAAGGTTCCATTTATAGTTCGGTTATTCGCATACTCTCTGAGAACTGGCAGAACCTGGACGTGGGAATTCTTGCTGTCCATGAGAGCTTGGCCTGGGGTTGGTTTGCCTTTGATCCCCTTTGAGGGGGCCCTAAATGTGTAGACACCTTGTTGAAAGGGTTGCTGAAATTACGAGTCCACAACAAAGATGGCTCCACTTTGCTCTTAGCCAGTGTTGCTGGCGGAGCCATAGAGTGTGCACCTGGGGAATATGAACCACAAAGCAACGAAATGAAGCGAGCGCCCTATCGCCTGTCGCCCTGTCGCCCCATTGCCTCATTGCCTCGTTGCCCCTCTGATTTGATCAAGGGTTGATGTCATGTATTTTCTCCAAATGGGGCAACCCTTCAAAATGTGCAGTTTCCATTTGTTTCTCTTTGAACCGACCCCGAAAGGGGTACCTTGAGGTCCCAGTCTTTCAAGACGGAGATTCATTCATTGCCCTGTCAGGCAGCAGCAAGTATGACGGTCAGCCTCTGGGTGGCACGGGGGATGTGCGCATGTGGAAAGTGTTGAGTTCATAGGGTAGATTTGGTGACCTTTTGCTGGAGGCATCCATCGCTGCTTCTCCGATTGTTTTCTCTCTTAACAGAGCGCGTTGGCAGTGCCGTTCTTCTTAGGGGGAATCCGCCCATCCGAAGTTTGGGATGTTGGCTTTGGCAATGTCGGGGATTCTTCTTGGGCTTGTTTCCAGTCAAGACCACGCATTGAGTCTTCGAGCCCCCTTAAGCATGGTGTCATGACCATAGATGGCCTTCTTGGACAGTTTGGCTGAAGATACATGCAATGGTTCCGCTGGTTCCACCTAAGTTCCAACTCACGTATCGGACTTGCAAGTGGAATCTATTTACATGGAATCCCAGAACCATCCCCTTACATGATAACTTGTCAGGGTTACGCCACACAGGGAATGTCATTTCACACTGTAAAATCCAAAGCTATTCTAGGGTCGTTGGTTCCAAAGCCATTTAGCAGTTTGTTTCCTTCTCTTTCTTTTTGGTAAAGGTGGTTTAAAGGGAAACAACAGGACACAAAACCATGTTTGGGGTCCCCCACAACAAGACACCCATTTTCTGCCGAGCCCTTTCACTTTTCCCGTGTGTCCCGTGGAGCTGCTCTTAGGTTCGCCTACGCCTACGCCAAGAGGGGGCAGATCCTACTCTGCGAGGAGTGGGCCAGGATGTACCCCCAGGCACCTCTGAGCTTCCGTGGTTTGGACTGGGGTTTGAACCCCACATTCTACAGGACAAGTGGGACAACACTGAACCTCCAAGCCACCTCACCAAACCAATCAGAGGGAAGCTGATTGCATGGAGGCAAAGAGCATCCGTTGCCAGTGGTTTGAGTAGGCAACAGAGGGGAAGGATGGTTACTTTTTTTTTGTAACTTTTTTTTTTTTTTTAAATGAACTATTTCGTAATTCTAGAGCCTCTTACATAATACGTGTTTGTTTTGTTTTTCCGAAACTGGGGACCCTTTGGTGGACCTCGTTCCGTGAGGACAATCCCACCAATTACGTTTGAATTACAATTTGAAGTTCCTAGCCTTGCTTTGTTTATCCAATAGTATGACTTAAGCCCAGGATGTCCGGCCCTTCGTGCGGAAAAAAAACAACAACCCCTGCGTACCCGCGTCTGTAAATTTGCTGCCCAGAAATAAACGGGCTGCTTGGATTGGAACGAATTGCACATTGTGGAACAAATATGCGGAACCTTATGTGTACATATATATATATATATACATATTCATTTAGTTTGCATGGAGTCCAACACCACACATTTGTAGAGGAAACTCCTCCCTTTCGGATTGTACTCCTTCTCATGAGTGCTTTTGTTGGTTGCTGAGTTTCGGAGCTGACGATTGAAGAACCCCACAACTGCAGGGGAACTTCATTTCGAGGACACCCTTTTCAGACTTCCCTCGGTTTGGGGAAACGTCTCCAGGCTCCACATCTCGGCTGCAGGTTGGGGACTTCCAGATCAACGGGTGCGGTAAGAGACCATTCTGACTGTTTACCATGGGTAGGAGTTGCGGATTCTTGAGTAACCTAGACCAGGGGACCGGGTATATTTTTTTTCCGTGTTTTTGCTGTAAGTCTGGTTTGGATTGGTTGAACCGGGAACCAACACATGCATTTCCATTTTGGGTGGTCCCCTAATTGAGACAGACATTGCCCTGGGATTGCGGTTCAGTGGTCATTGAAACCATTCTACAGCATTTGTTTGGGCTCCAAGAGTCCCCCATGGTTTCTTCTTTGAAGCAGCCCACAACTGGGTTAACGCCCTCAAGAAACGACCTATATATATATATATATATCCATGTATATATGTATACATATATATATATATATATACACATGTTGTTTTCTAGGGAGCTTTCGTTTTGGTTAGTATCAGACTTTGGAGCCCACATTGGATGAATTGAATTTTGATCTCAGGTGAAGGTGGTCAGCTGCCACCCGGGCTGGACCTCCACCCCCGGGGTGGACGCGGCCTACGGCACTAGCGCCTTGCGCGCAGGGCACGGGTGGAGATGAACGGTAGGAATCCCACAACCCCCCACCACTTGACAAGACTTCTATTGGGGGAATACCCGATTCGGGTGGTCGTCCTTTGTTTTTCTCGCCGAAATGATCCAAGTCAGGGGTGGCAGGGATGGTCAATGTTCTACAGGCGTGACATCCATAAGGATAGTTGGATGTCATGAAGAACAATCCCTTACTTGGCCTTGTTCATGGCCAGTTAAATCAGCAGAGCTCCGTCAGATATCACGCAGAAGTGCGAGATGTAGTTGCCATAGTTTGTGCTGTGTAGCCGCTTTGGATTGGACCCTTTTGGGGACCAGGGTTGACGCATGCTTCAAAGTGACGCAACTGTAGTGCCTCCGGCGCAGGCAGCCGACATTGCGGACGTGCCCCCCGTTTTTTCTTGTTTTGTTTTTCGTTTGCTTTTGAAAATCTTCAGGTTGTCCCCCCTCATATTTGTCCCTCACCCCCGGGGGATTGGGTGGGGGGCTGTAAAAAGTGTTGTGTGTTATGGATGTGTCCGACATGCCGAACAATGTTGAAGAATCTGCTGTTGGAGGAAACTCTCACGACCTGGAGCTGAAGGGTAGTTAAAGGAGGGATCGGCCGTGTCCAAAAGATTGGAAACAAGACAGGTCTCCTTCTGGCATCCTTGCAAAACATGAACCAAAGAGTTTCTGTTTTCCTTTCAAAAGCACAGCAAGCTGCGTGCACAAAGTGGAAAATGGATCCTAGAAAGAAGGGCGTCCCCAACCAAAAGAAACAAACAATGTTGGGGCCCTTCATTTGAAGAGCCACCCCTACACATCATTACGTGGGGCAAGCAGATGGCACGGGTCACCCATGTAGATTTGTTTGGGAACAGCGCCGAACACTTCCACCCAAGTGCAAAGGAGATGATTTTTGATACCATGGGAGGCCCCTGAAGAATCTATGTATCCACAGCCCCACATAATTTGTCGATGCACCGTTGGAAGAAAGATGTGTCCAAACATCGGGGAGGCCCCAAGCGGATTTTTGTTGTTAGTTCTCCTTCACCATCCGAACGAGGGTCAAAGGAAAGTCCCAGATTGATAGTGGGGTCATAGTGAGTCCCTTCCAAATTGCGGGACATTTCGTGAGTCCCCCGGTGCCCCTCCGAAACAATCATAGACTTGGCCGCTTTCCCCCAAAAGGGACTACGGGGGGGGGGGGTTCACCTCCCCTAAGATGGCCGGCTCCCCTGTGACTTGGCCGAAAACTCGCCCCAAGAAGGCCACACTAAAGGCGCCACACTCCTCACTTTGACATGTCAATGCGCACAGACACACTATGTACAAATATATATATATATATATTTTTATATGTACATATATATATATATATACATAAATCCAAAAAGCATAGTTTAAGGGTCACATCCACATTTATGATGCACAACTCTTGAATCTCATGTATATTCTTGAATCTGATGCATATTTATGTTTTAAGGTTTCTTTTTGGTCTTTCTGGGACCGCTGCTCCCCTCCGCTTGTGGAGAAGCCGAGCGTTCTCAGGCCAGTCCTATTTGGAGCCGCTGCGCACGCTGTGGCAGGGTGCCGAGGGCATCATTTGGCGGCCTGGCGAAGCCATCGTCGCTCCAACATTTCCCCCCAAAGGGCTGTAGGGGTATGTCTGGGGTTGAAGGTTGGTTTAGGGTCGGGTTGGGGTGGTTGTTCAAAAACAACCTGCAAGACCCTTTTGCCGCGTGGTAGTGGTTTGCTTTGTTGGTGTCTCGGTACGGATTGAGAATTAAAACCTCCCTCAACAACACGGATCATGAGTATGCCTTTTGAGGGCACCGTGGCTTTAGGGAAGCTGCCGAGGAAGCGACCCATTTTGGGGTCACCAACAAAATGTTTGGTTTGACATAAGTCCCTACCAAAGGCCAGATAACAGATCATACCCATGTTTTCCTTATTGGTGGTGGTCAGCTCTTTGTTGCCCAATGTGGATTGAGTTCCCTTTGTCGGGTCGATGTTGCGCAACCCGATTTCCCTCGCACCCTCACCATATTCCCTGTCAGAACAGCCCCAAAAGGGCTGCATGCAGCTGTTCTAAGCCTGGATGTCTTTCAGGTATCCCTGTGGAGGAAATCCTAATTGCAAACGCTGCGCGCTGCCGGCCTTGGCCAGGGGCGATTCGATTTGGAGGCTTCCTTTGATCTTCAGCTAGCCGTAGTCCAAGGGCAAGGGGCTGGAGGCTTGCTTCAGGGCCGCTGGAGCACGGATTTGGGCCACGCGTCATGGGTTGTGGGGGGAGGTGTGTGTGGGGAGGGGTCAGATGGGGTTTGGGAAGATAGCTATGATCTGGGAAGGGATCTGACCCTGGCGGTCCATTGATGTTTCTTTTTGCATGCCCCGGAGATGTGATTTTCCTGTCCAGAAAAATCAGAACTGCCAGGGATCCAAGAAAGGGATGCGATTCTCTCGGCACAAGGTGTTTTCATGTGGTTCCCTTTGGTTTCCCTTTTTCAGCACACCTGACACGGCACGAAGCCCTCGAAGCCTCGAAGACTCGAGGCTGCTGGTGGCGGACGCGGCCAAGCTGAAGTCGGGTGAGTTCTATTTGGACCGAGAGCCGCAGGTGAAGCACATGGGAGGCGACTGGAGCTGGGAGCTGAACTGGCTGGACATTTGGGACCAGGGTTCTACCTTTTGACTATCTCAGGGTGGACTTAAACCCAGGGGTGGCTCATTCCCACCAAAGAGCAACCCCTGGGTTTAAGTGTATCTTGGGGTAGTCAAAAAGTGGCACCCTGTTTGGGACGATTTAGGTGGACACTTTCTAAGACGGGGAGGTGAACCATTCTTGGAGTTTGGGATGGGCGAAGTAGTCATGGGGATGGGAATCAACCCTTTTGGCATCGTGGAATGTTTATCGAAGACTTCACCGAATTTGCCTCCAAACCGCATGAGGGTTGAGACACCTGCTGGCTCGGCATTGGCAAAGTTTTTTCGCTCAGCTCTGACCTGGAGCCGCGTGCGCAGGGGGTCCCACAACCGCGAACTGGGGTTTTGAAAGGGATGGGAAGCGAGGGAAGACTAGGGACATGTTCGAAAAGAAGGGGGTGGAAGACTTGTCCAAAGATAGCGAAGGCGGGTTGGTGCACAGAGAGATTGAGCAATAGTTCGTGTCGAGTGCTTGTTCAACATGCCACCGGCCCGGCTGGTCATGGGTTTTCCTCGGGTCCTTGAATGCATCCTGTTTCAAGAGGATTGGCCATGGACCCATCCGCTGAGTGTAAGCTGGTGAAAGCCGACATTGCAACACCCGTCTCGGATTCTGTTCAAACCAGGGCTCCAGATTATGATTGAATGTCAAAAGCCTTAGTTGATACAATGAAACCAGGACTCCCACAAAAACAAGGTTGGCGAATCTCACATGGATGACACGGAAGCCCCTTGGTTTTTTTTGCCGATTTGGTTTCCGGTTTCCCTGTGAGCGCCACCCAACAGGGCGCTGCTCGTTTGGAAGTCAAAACAAGGGTCCGTCGCAATTCGTTCTCTGAAGCATCCAACAGGGGGTTTATCCATCCTCAGTGAGGGCTTGGAAAGGGTTGGTGGTCCCAAACAACCTTAAGGCCTTGCGAAGGGCATCCATGGTCTTTTTTGGGTTGAATGAAGCAAAAGTCAGCTTGGCGAAAGCTCTGCTCATCTGGATGGGGTATAACGAGGGACTGGTACGTTACAGTTGGTGTGTATTGCTTGTCCAGCTCCCTCCCTATTTTTTCGGGGAGGTGTCCACCCAGTTCTTACCTTTGCTCCGATCTGCTTGGTTCGTCCCCAGTGAAGGCCTCGGTTCGACAGGCGCCTTCTTCACAGAGGGCTCCGTCACCAAGAACTCCCCCGGGGAGGTGGCCGACATGATGCGCCTGCTGGAGGCCGGCGCGGGGCTGGTTGGACACTGCTGCTTGGTCCTTGGAATTTAGCCAGCCGGAGGACCCGGAGGACCCCTTCGACTTCCCTGAGAAGATGGCGCAACACACCCAAATCCCCTCTCGGCTTCCCCAAAAGATGGCGCAACACACCCAACAAACCCCTTTTCGACTTAACCACACGGAGACGGAGCACGCCCCCCCCCGCCCTGCGACGACCAAAAAACCGCCGGACGCCAGGACTGGGCCAACGACCGCCGGGACTCCGCGAAGCGCGTGGCCTCGGCCCCGCTCAAGGCCATGGACCAGCCCATCGCCCGGGGCTCAGGGTTGGCCAATCGAATGGGTGGCTCGTTGATTTGTTTGGTGGTCTTCCCTTCTTCCTTTTTGTTGAGGGGTAAAAGCCGGAGCTCTTTTTTGGGTAAAACACGGATTTTTGGACTTAACCGAAGTGTTTTTTTTTGGTAAGCCTGATTGGGAGCCTTTGTCGGGAGCCTTTGCCGGGTCGCTACCGCTCTCTGTCCCGCAACTCATCGGAGGTTTGGCGGGAGGTTTCTTCGCTCCCAAAGGGAAATGCGCTTGGGGTCCTTCAGGGGCAGGTTTCCTTTTGGGGTTAGAATCCCGGAACGGGTTTGGCCCTTAAAGACAGGCCCAAGCCCTTTAAGCATCACATTGGCCCATAGGCGAAATTCATTTAGGTACAGCAATTTGATGGGCACCTCGGACTGAACCTGGCTCGGGCAAAAATGGTTTCTAAAAGACCTTGACGCCCTTTAACGGGAACCCGAAAACATTTGTTGAGTCAGTGGCCCAACCCTGACGTGGTCAAGCACCATCAAAGGAGCGTCAGAAAGTGCTAAAGCAACAATCAAACTTGGGTAGATGAGGATTAGAAGTGCAACCCCAACCATGAATAGGTGCAACAAGAACACTCTTTCGATTTGTTGCGATGAGGTTTGGATAGGTTTCCCTCCATTCCAAGTTTTAACCCTGCCTCTCTTCGTGTGCTGTGTTCATGGATCAGTGCGGGTCCAGCGTACGTCTGGCGACTGAGGAGCTTCCTAAGTTCATGGGCAAGTGGTACGCGCCTAGCCTGCAGTAGAAGTGGGCTCCAGTTCTGTTTGCTTGGATGTTTGCGTTGATAGAGTCGGCAGTTGGAACCCTATAACTCCTGCCGTCTGGCTGAAGCTTTTGAACAATTCCTTTGGTCTGTTGACACCACTCGCCAAGAGTGATTCACTCTTGGAGCATGGGGTGCTGGGGCCTGGAATATGCGCAACAGCTTGCTTCCTTATTCGGGTGTGTTGTACCTGTTTTCGGATGGCTTTGCAGTCATACACTCTCAACACCACCAGAAACAGGGGTTCGAACCCTCATTTGCGGAAAGATGTTGGTGCATTCTGACTGTGTTTTTGATCAGGTCATTGCCAACATCCCAACCTACTTTGACAAGGGGACTTCGGACAATGTGGAGAACTACAGCCTGGATGACTCAGGCGAGCTGCGAGTCGCGCTGTTCGGACTTTGAGATTCCTCTTGACGGGGCAATATGGCAATGCGTCAAGACCAGGGACTTTTTCTTCATGCTACGTTTCTACATCAAGACTTGGGTATTTGACACCATACGCTGGCTGACTTGCGTTCAAGAGGCAAGTGCAGCCTTTGACCAAAACCAGGGGGCTGCCCTGCAGGAAAGACAGTCATGGTGGATTTCACCTACAAGCAGGCGGACAGATGCCAGGTGGAATGCATCGACAAAACCGGCTGGGGACGGGCTCATGTACCAACGGCAGGGATTGACTGATGTGCTATCAGAACAGATAGGAGTCTGGCGGCCTCTCCCCCGCTTTGATTGTTGCAATGTTTGTTTCCGCTTGCTGCAAAAGCCAGGGCACCTCGAGCAAGCTTCTGCAGCAGAAAGCTGAGGCAGGGTGGAGGTAGTGTTTGTCGAACTTGGATGTTTAATGCATGTGAGCGTTTTTCCGTAGTCACACAGGGTTCCCTCTATTTCCCCTTTTGCATTTTAGCATCACACTTCGTACACGCATTCAAAACCCACTTTCCTCTCTTACGCTGCGCGATGGTTGTTTCTGGTGAGTGTCACAGCTCGCCGTGTCACGGCGAGTCTGCCATAGCTTCGGAGCCATGAAGCTGAGTTCTTGCAACCAACGAGGTCATTCGATCCCAGTTCCACCTTGGCTTGTTCCTTTTCCGCTGACGTGATGCGGGCCAGGTTGTCAATGACAAGTGCACGCAGTGGGCCATCTCGCCGAAGATAGGCCAGATCCTTTTGGGTTGGGAGCCCCGCAGTTCCCAGGAACCAGGAACCTGCAGCACACCCGTCTCAAGATGGATGGATTCCACCGGTCTCATTTTGATTCCAAAGCCATGTAACAGTGCAATTCATTTGTCCACCCACAATTTAGAGATTAATGCCAGGTAGAACTGTTCGGGGCAAAGGAAATCATGACCCCACCAAAAAGAACCTGGCGGCTAAATGTTGCCCATGAAGGTTTCTTTCTGGAGATCCACGATTTTTGGTTGGTGTATTATCCATATTTTGAACGTTCAAGTGCCTTCATGACTGCCTGCCATGTTCTGTGTATTAGGCTCTATGCAAGTTGCCAACAAGGACAGCCCAAGCCTCCCGGTTCCAGGCTTCTTCATTCCCCTGCGGCTAGCCTACTTGATCGTGGACTGTGCAGAGGCGCTCTTCTTCCTTCGGCACCACAGGTTCTGCCAAGTGGGGACCCCCCTCGATTTCGCGGAAGCGCCCAGCTAGAAATCATTCCTTCGCCATCTCTTTAGGTTGTTTCCAGCATTACACTCTCTCCCACTAACGTGGCACCTGACAGGGGTCCCTCCAAAAGGAAACTGATCTTCCAGGTCCCTCCCACAGGTGCCATGTTAGTGGGATGAAGGGTAGATATTTGTTTCTATGTCTGGTATTCGGTGTTTCTTGCCACCCAGGCGGTCAGGGATGGGAAGTGGTCCAAATAAAGGGCAAGCTTGGAAGCTGGAATCAGAGGGGATGGCAATGAGTCAAGAGGAAGAAGCCTAAACTTGTGGGAGTTTACGGAGTTTACACAACAAGCAGAAGAAGGATTTCTATCTGAACTGTTGAACTATTCCCTCGCTTTGGGAACATTGAGGAACGGCGCAAAATAAGATCCTCCACGGGTCTAAGGGTTTCCCCGAGACGAAGCCAACCCGAAGGGGCTCACTGGCAACCCTCAAGGATTCCCTGAAGTTGGCGCAGAGTTGATCTAGCACGAGCTGGACATTGCTGGGGTCTATGTAGCACCAGCCTTTGGGAGATTTGGACCCAGGGACGAGAGCAGTCCGTGAGCGTTTGGATCTACACACAAAAGTCTGCAGGGCCATGTTCCAACCCCGGCAACATCAACCACATGTCTGTGGGCCCTACAAGACATTGGACGTGCTTTAGCTCGGTTCTTGGCAGGACTACTCCACCACCATCATCGGAGTGCCGGACCGGAGATACCTCTGGATCATGGCGCGCACGCCCACCTTGCCCGAGGAGAAGTTGGTGGAGCTCATCGACAAGAGCCGCGCCATGGGCGCCCTTGAAGCAATTGTCGTCGCCAAGCCTCCCACGTTGCCATGGAACCTGGGGCACCTGCACCAACCAAGCTTGTTGAGGGTAGAAGTCCACCCAACCACCAAAACCCCAATCCAATCCACCTTGGGAGGAAGCTCAGTACCCCCTGTGCCATGGCACCCAGGCTACCTGAAAGATCAATGTGCTTTTGGGGCCCTCTGTCCGCCAGAAGCCTTAGTTGGTGCTTTGGATTGGTGGTTTGGGGATTTCAAGCTGGAGGTAGATGGGGTTTTCACCCAACCACCAAAACACAAATCCATCAGCTGGGGGGGAGCTGAGTACCTCTGTTGGTATAGGAGAAATCCTGCTTTGGGAGTAGTATAAGGGGAGAGCATGAGGCGAGGATGCCTGGTAAAGACTTTGTTTTTGAGGAAGCCAAGACAAGACACACACGCCTGCTACCTTTGGACACTGTTGGGTTGGCTGGTTTGTTTCTTTGCTTGTTTCTTTGTTTGTTTGTTTGTTTGCTTGGTTTGGTTTGTTGTCTGTTTGTGTGTTTGTTTGTTTGTTTGCTTGCTTGCTTGCTTGCTTGCTTGCTTGCTTGCTTGTTTGTTTGTTTGTTTGCTTGCTTGGTTTGGTTTGGTTTGGTTTGGCTTGGCTTGGCTTGGCTTGGTTTGGTTTAGTTTTGTTTGTTTGTTTGTTTGCTTGCTTGCTTGCTTGCTTTTGGGTTTTGTTTTGTTTTGTTTGTTTGTTGTCTGTTTGTTTGCTTGCTTGCTTGTTTGTTTGTTTGTTTGTTTGTTTGCTTGGTTGGTTGGTTTGCTTGTGTTTTTTTTTGTTTGTTGTCTGTTTGTTTGTTTTGTTTGTTTGTTTGTTTGTTTGCTTGCTTGCTTGCTTGCTTGCTTGCTTGCTTGTTTGGTTTGGCTTTGTTTTGTTTTGTTTTGTTTTGTTTTGTTTGTTCGTTTGCTGTCTGTTTGTGTGTTTGTTTGTTTGATTGTTTGCTTGCTTGCTTGCTTTGTTGTTTGTTTGTTTGTTTGTTTGTTTGCTTGCTTGCTTGGTTTGGTTGGTTTGGGTTGGGTTGGTTTGGCTTGGTTTGGTTTGGTTTAGTTTTGTTTGTTTGTTTGTTTGTTTGTTTGTTTGTTTGTTTGTTTGTTTGTTTGTTTGTTTGTGTGTTTGCTTGCTTGCTTGCTTGCTTGTTTGTTTGTTTGTTTGTTTGCTTGCTTGCTTGCTTGCTTGCTTGGTTTGGTTTGGTTTTGTTTTGTTTTGTTTTGTTTGTTTGGTGTCTGTTTGTTTGTCTTTTTGTTTGTTTGTCTGTTTGCTTGCTTGGTTTGGTTTGGTTTGGTTTGGTTTGGTTTGGTTTGATTTTGTTTTGTTTGTTTGTTTGTTTGTTTGTTTGTTTGTTTGTTTGTTTGTTTGTTCACACTTCTGCCGCCAAAAGTCAACATATATCTGCAGCCTATTGGAGCGTGCTGCCGACCAACGGGCAGCCAGTGGAGCCAAGCGCAGTATGAGAAAGGGAATGAGTCTGCCGTCTCATGTCTTTTGGGACATCTTCCCAGTCACAGGTGACTCAGTCATGTCAGGGCATGATTGTGATAAGTGGATTTCTCCGCCCCGACTGGAGGCTTTGACACAACACAGATCGTGCGGGTGCCCCAGAACAGCTGATGCGCACGCTTGGCGCGCCGACTGGTGCAGTCTGTACAAAGGCAACTTTTTTTAGCTTCCTGCCCCTGGCTGCACTTGGCAGCAACGGGGCGGCCATTTTCTACCCCCTCAGCCGGAGTGCACGCTGGACTTTACCCGGCTCGTCCTTTTCTGGCTGAACAGACCCGATGGCTATGAATTGGCTCGTGGGCTTGTGGTGCCAACCTGAGGGTGGAGAGAGAGAGTCAGAGAATTAGCGTATGTTGAAAAATACAGATGGCCACATTACCTACTGGAAGAGTGCATGCGCATCTCTCATCGCCCGCTCCGTGCTGAGGGCGCACAGCCCTTTTGTTGTGTGAAAGGCACACAACCAGCGCCGTTCGGCGGTTTCATTTTGCGGGGCCGGCAAGGAGAACATAGAGGCTATGGGCCAGTCATTCGTATCGCGCAAAAGGCGAAGGGCAACCGGGCGTGCGCTTGTGTCTGTGTGTGTGTTTGTGTGCGTATTTGTCCGTGCGTCTGTTTTCTTGTGTGCTAGCGTGTCTGTGTGGCTGTGTGTTTCTGTGTCTATGTGTGGCTCTGCGTGTCTGTGTGTTCCATGCGTGTATGTGTTTGCACCATGGATCAGAGCTGATTCCACATCAGGGGGTTCATAAATGGATTCAGCCCTTCGGTCTGAGCAACCTCTTTAGCCGACATACGCACAGCAGCGAGCACATGTAGTTTGACACGTTCAGCTTCGTCGCACTTGGGATCCCAATGCTATCACCCAGTTGGACTCTCCGTTTGCAACAGGAGGCTTTGGCCCGCTTTACGATGCTGACTCGGTCCAACGGAACACACATGCTTGCCAAATAGCAGTGCCCGCCCGGCTAGTTCAAGTGCAGCTTCGGGAGCTCTGTGCATACTAAGTGTGCTGCATGAAGCGCTGCAGTGGACGCCCCAGCCCAGCACCACTGACTCAGGCAGACTCAAAAGGACAGGAGTTTGACCACGAACTGCGAGTCCAGGAAGGGATGGCCGGTCTCGTCAGACCAGCCAAAACAGCACAGCTTGTCTTGCAAAGAGGTGAGCTGAAACAAGGACCTTGCCAAAATCGTTGGGTTGTTTTTTCCCCGCAGAATGAGGACCCTTCCAAAGGATGGGTCTTCCCCTACGCGGCTTAGCCGCGCCAGGACCAAGTCTAACATCGGTGTGTTTTTGGGTCTTGGTTCACATCATCCCACTCGTATCTTTTTTCGGCTGCCGTTCTGTCTCCCCCCCCCCTCCCCGGAATTTCTTGCGCATTTGGTGGATCTCTAGGAAAGGAACCACGAACTCGGGCCGCTTCCATGCAGGCGCTGCTCGCCCTGACGAAGAGTGGGGAGCCGAAGCCTTGGAGCTCGGGGCTTCGACGGATCCTTCGCATTGTGAGCTGTTCTCAACAGTGCCTTATTCCCCAACAGCTGAAAGCTTTGGGGTCTGCGGGGTGGTGCGGGTCGGCCCTGCAATAAGGTTCCACCAGGGTTCCACCAGGGTTCCACCAGGGTTCCACCAGGGTTCCACCAGGGTTCCTGTGGTGCGAGCACTAAACAGAGCAGCGCATGCTGTTGGGGATATCACCTGAGCCTATTTCTTTCTTCTTCTTTTTTTGGGGGGGGGTTGGTTTCATTTTAAGCCGCCATTTGGAGGTGATTTCTGCAGGGGAAGCTGTGGAGGGCCCTGCTTCTGTGGTACGAATTCTTGTAAACATCCTTGCGGAACGCGGCCTGCTTTCAAATTGGGAACCTGGCTTTCGCTTGATTCCCCACAAATCGCACGTCAGGAACAAAGGAAATCTTATGATTTACAATGGCTTGTGGTTGGTTTCGTGTCGGCCCGGCAACCTCTTGCCAAAAAATGATCCGGATTTCTATTGAATTGGGAGGTACCCTGATCAGAAACAGCCAGGGTTGAATGTCCTGGACTCCCGCTGGGCTCTCGCCATACTTTTTCAGCGGTTGATCGCAGAGAGGTTTAGACCGTATCCGTGCTTGGAAGTGTTTGACAGACATGTCGGGTGAAGTTACAAAGGTGGTACTCTTTTGACAGCAGCTAGGTTAGATACACCCGCGGTTGGAAGTGATTGATTAAGAGCAGGTTGGCTTCCCTGCATCCATCCTGCGTTAGTCTAAGTAACAGTGGTTGCTAACAGGTAGGCAAGGTCATAACCATTGCCGTAGATGGCAGGTAGATTAGGTTTTTCAAGGTGGTGTTCAGTGGGTCACAGCTATGTTCTGCAGCGCCCTTGCAATCAGGAGGAACTCAGACACGAAGGGCGTTGAATACTCCGGAAGCGTTGACTCATCGGGGACAAACAGCAGAAGGGCCCAAAAGCGGCAGAACAAGAAAAGGCAGGGGACGCTTGACACCGATAGGGGAGGTGAAGTGGACAAGGAACGTTATTTTGTGAAAGTCCTTTCCCCCCTTTGGGGAAGCGCATGAAATTGTTGGTGGCCATGCTGGGTTCTCATGTGTGCAAATGGTTGATGTGGGTATGACTTTCAGTTCGGGACCCTTCGGTGAATTTATCTTGGTTTTGATGCCTGAACCAATCATTTCTTGAGCTGGTGTTTCAACTATTAACGATCATGGCCATGTTGTGTACGAAGCCTGTGACTGTGCTCTTGCTGTTCACCGTGACACGTGGCGTCAGACTTTGTTTCTCGGGGCGGCGCGGCGTGTGAGGTTCAGGGATTACCCCTTCAATGAGGAGCTCTACTCGTGGGACTGGCATGTTCTCAAGGTTTACACGAGAGTCAACGAGTCAAGAGATGGCCTAATGCTCGCACTGGATGGCGCTGAAATGAAAGGTTTTCAGAGCTGGATGTGACATGGGAGAGCGACTTGGGGGATTTAGTTGGGTCACTGTCCCAAGTTCCCGGAGCCGGGAGCTCAAAGATGGAAACATGGAAGTACAGACCGCTCCCAGAACGGCATGTCACATCCGAGTAAGACAACCCCAGCTATCCTCCAAACCACCTAAGTGTGCCTGGCATGGCCATTCGGGGTGATCACGTCCCCCCCAAACAAAAAAACAAACAATAAAACAAAACAACACAAAACAAACGCAAACAACACAAACTGCACAAACTGCTGGGGCTTGCAACTTGACAGCTGACTTGGCTCAGCCTTCAAGCGCGAAGCTCAAGCAGGGTCCTGTACATTTCCCTTGAAACGTCACCTTTTGGTTCCCAAGCTGAAATGAACTTCTTTTTAGGTGGGGTGATGTTTAAGAGGGCACGTATGGGTAGTGATGCAACACCGTGACCCACAGAGTCTTGGCCATGGCACTGATGTGTTGCCATGCTTTACCTCATACCCTGGGCACAACCGCATCCAGACAGAAAGTTGAGCGCCAACCCTTTTAGAAGTTGCTTCCAAAAGGTGTCTTGGTTTTGGTTTTGACGCACTGCTAGTCAAATGCTTTAAATGAGGAGCAGCACGGGTTCACTGCCGTTTGATTGCTGCAAGCGGAATGATGCTGGGACATTGCCCTCTTTGGAGGGCTTCGTGATGATACAGATTTCTCCCACCTGCCAGACTAAGCTCACCGGTTCCTTTCCTTTTTTCCAGCTTTTGCCCAACAAACTGGTGGCATTTGGCAATTTTGATCCGGTCAAAACAGAACCAGATGGCCAACAAGCAACTACATCTTGAGTGAACTCCCCTCAAAACACGTCCGAAGTTCGAAGCTGAGGGATTTTTTTCGGTTCGCCCGTGTTGGGCTGGCAGGGGCCTGTTCCAGCTCATGTCACTGGCCTGCGCCTGGCGAACCTCTGAGCGGCTTGGCCCGGGGTTCGACAGGCTTGGAGTCATGAATGTATCAAAGCCCGAAGCGCGTTTTGGGATGGTTTCAAAGGAAACTTAAAGGACACCTACAGGAAAACCCAAAGGAGAACCTGAAGGAAAACCTAAGAAGCCAGCATGAACCTAAAAGACAACCACTTGAACCTCCTGATGGGAATCAATTTGGTTTGGCTTCCTTTGGTTCCTTCTGGTTCGACATTTCAACCCTGTAGCTCCCATTCCTCAATTCTGGGTGAGGAGTGCATCCTTCCGTGGCATTTGGATTCAGGTCGCAGCCCTTCGTGGTAAAAGTGGAGCAGATCTTCTGGCGGGCCTGGCAGGTTTGATCCGAAAGAACACGCGGGGCAAAGAAACCCGGGAAGCGATGGAATCGCATCATGCACATACGACAATTGACATAGTGTGATATGATGCCATGAAATGTCAGGCTATGGGATGCGATGCGATGTGGTGTGCAGGAATGCAATCTAGTGTACGTAGACAGGTATACATTCATGCATGGACGTAGGCGTACACGGAAACGTGCACGTAAACGTACACGTACACGTGCGCGCACACACACATGCACAGAGACACACAGAGACACACAGAGATAGGCAGAGACACACTGCGAGACACACTGTGAAACACAGAGGGGCACACACACACACACACACTCATTGAGAGCAGCTTCCAAAGCTATCGCCCCGGCAGAGGACGCCCGCACCGCATGGGAGCAACTCTGGTGGAAATGCAGAACATTTGCAAGTCAGCGTTGGAAAGGAAAGGCAAAACAACAAGTTGGCAGGGCCTTGGGTCCAAGTTGGTCCAATCGACTTGGCCTTTGGTTTGAAGATACGCCCCACCAGTTCAAGCCACCCAGGGCAAGGTGAAGCAACATTTGTCGGCCCCTCCTGCACTTCCCCCCGCTTCGAAACCCCCACTCCCCCCACTCCCCCGCAGGGCCATGGTCCGCGCGCCGGAGTTCAGCATCGCGGAGGCGGAGGAGCAGGCGTCGCGACCGGAGCCTTTGGCTTTCGGAACGGAGAACTCCTCAGCGTTCCGAGGGAAACCGAAGAGCCCTTTGTGACACAAGGCGGCTCTCTTTGTCACTTTTTCTCAGGGGATTATTGTTTTTTTTTGGGAGACACGCGGACCGGAAATTCTAAGCGTGTCGGTTTTGGCAAGCGATCTCTGAGGAAAGGCTTGTTGGGGCTTGCAGAAGTCAGCCGCCCAGAAATTATCAAGCTTTTGTACTTGGCTCAGTACGTGTTTTATCATGGACTGTTAGATGTGCTTCAACCAGGTTGTTTGGCCTCACCCTCTACGGTGGATGCTCAAAATATGGCAAAACCAACCAAACACCATGTTCCTGTTTTTTTCCCTTGCAATATTTTAAGGGAATCAACCATGCTTTTCTATCCCTCCCCATCCCTTCCTATCCCTCCCCATCCGCCTCCCCTGCCCAAGCTGCCAGCTGGGGGAGCTACTCTTCAGCCTCGGCTCCCGGCTGGATGGCAGCGCGCAGCAGGCGAGAGACCGATAAGCGCGCGCCGAGCTCCGGGCTCCGAACATCGCGGAAACAAGACATGCGCGGGAGCCACAAACCAACACACCGGCGAACCAAGAAGCCAAGAAACCAAGAAACCAAGCAGTGTGCTTGGCTTTCGACCAGAAAGTTAGTCTGGCTGGTTTGTTGGTTTGTGCTTTTCTTGGTTAGTTGATATGAAGAGTGTCTTAACTGACTCTTTACCCCCCGTGTGTTTACTTCTTGACCCCAGTTGGTTGGCTGATTTGTTGCTTCGCTTGGGTTCAGCAAAAACAGACTGCTGGTTGGTTGGAGACCAGCTCTTCTTTCGATTTCGTCCACAGACTCTTTGCCCCAGGTTGGCGGGTATCAGGCTTAGAGTTGGCTGGATTTGTCTGGTCGGTTGCTCCGGTTGGAGGACCTGAGCTGGTTGCACCCGTTTGAAGTGTGGCACTTCTATCCTGCCCCTTTCAGAATTGCAAGGAGGACCTGACAGACAGCCAACGGTCCTCTTTGTAATGCGTATGGCGTCAAAGCTTTCCAGTTCCTATTTCTCGCGCCGTTCGCCTCCGAGCCCGGAAGGGCTCTTGCGAGGCAGAGTGGCCCTTTCTGCGGGACGTGCTGCTGTGGCTGTACGACAAGTTTCCCAGCAGGACGCACACATTTGCCTTCCAGCCCCAACATCCGCGCAAACTCAGGGGCCAGCAGTCCGCTGGCTCAACTCCACACAAGTGAAGCAACTGTTAAAGAACGCATGCCCTACCAAATTTCGCTACGTCCCCCGGCCAATCTGTGAGTTGCATTCTGGGGGCGAATGGAACATCCGTGGAAAGCCAGCGCTCGAGCCTCAGGAGGCCAGCCATCCGAGGAGTGATTGGCAGGTGCCCCGTCCGGGTTGGTTGCCGGCGATTTGAAGAAATCGCCCGCCAATTTGGACACAGCGCATTTTTGTGGGGAGGCCGATTTGTTTCCTCTCTCCGTTTTTTTGGGAGAAGCACCGTGCACCTAAGCCACATGTGTCAGCCCGATGAGAGCCTCAGGGAAGTCACGCGCTCAAACTGGGCTCAGGTTGGCATTTGCGTACGCAAGCACACTGGTGGAGCATGCTGGAAAACATGAAGAGCAACCTTGCGGCAGCTGTGTCTCTGGGCACCAAGGGACACTTTTGAACCTGAGAAGAGCATCCCCCCAATATGGCTCGTACCTTTCAACGGCACAAGTGTCCCTTGCCTGGAGACACAGCTAACGCCACTAAGCCACTCACCAGGTGCCAGCCTTTGCAGAAGGGACATGCTCATGGAGCCTGGAGCTCGTACCATCTCATTCCACAGACCAAACCGGACCAAGCCAAGCCAACCCTACCCAGTTTTTGTGCGGCCAAAGAGCCCACTTGAGATTTGCCCCAGCGATGTCTCTCTTTCCGAGCCATGCGCTTGCTGCTGGGCCTGTTTGTCCACGGCCTGGCGATTCGGCCATCACAGCCCCACATCGTCTTTCACGCGCACCCCTCAGTGTTGACACTATTTGGCTCCCGTGGTGTTTGTGTGTGTGTGTGTCACAAAAATGCAGGGCCTTCTTTGGTACACACGATCACCCAGTGCGAGCAGCTGGCTCACCGCTCCACACCGCAATTGCTAAGTGTTCCCCTTTGGCCATGTGCATCCTCCGCCTTGTGCTGAAAGGTATGCAACATATGGCGAGCTCAGCCGCAGCGAACCTGCCTGTTCAGTGTCCAAGCTTGCGAACTTTTCCTGGCAGCCAGCTCAACAGGTAAGTGATCAGTTTTTTTTCTTTCAGGCGGCCCAAAGTCACAGGAGGGTCCTAAGCCTCACCAGCGCCGTCAACAGTTTCTTGGGGTAGCTTTTTGGCGGCTTCGGTCGGGTTGCTTCCCTCGAGTTGCTTCTTTAGATGCTGAAATCTCATGAGTGTTCCAAACAAGTACAATGGTCCTTCCGGACGTTTCTTCGCAAAGAAGCGCTCTGAGATCATCGACGACTGGGGCTTCCATGATATCGGCTTCCGCAGCGAGCAGATGCACACTCCCACCCTGAACATGTTTCACCGGGAAGGCGCACGGTCGATTTTCCAGGGGGAAAGGAGGGGGTCTATGTGGTCTGCAACAGGGGACACTTGATCCTTCTTCACCAATGACTTAGTGTTAGATTCGGCGACAACTTAGTTGTGAGCCGTGGCGAAGTCCATTGCTCGTGCCAGAAACACTCCTAAAGATTTGAGGACATGCGAACTTGATTTTGGGAGGGGACTGACTGAATTTCCCAGAGGCGACTCCGTGTCCAATTCTCGTGGCATGGAGTTGACCTTTGCCGTCCAAATGATCAACATATGAGGGGTCTTCAAGGTTCTCGGCTGAACAAGGGAACAAGGCCTGGGTGAGATTGTGTTTTGCTGGGCCTTGCCACATCCTTTTTGGTCTTCGTCTTGGTGATCACGAGATAGCTTCTGGAAAGAAAGGGGAACGCGCCTCTATTTTTCTTAAAGACCCAACTCGGACATCCCCCTCTATAGCCAAGCTTTGAGCTTTCCCCCCAAACGCCCAACACGCCCAAAAAGCGGGGCCGAAATTCTCAGGGGTGACGCTGGAGCAGTACTACGTGCTGCCCACCTGCTCCCCCAGCCGCGCCACCTTCCTGACCGGGAGGTTGCCCCTGCACACGGGTTTGAACTCCAAGCTCACCATGGCGCCCACCGCGCCGCTGGGCTTTTCAGCCGCCAGAGACGGGGGCGGAGTTTTGGCGGGTGGAGGACCTCTTTATATAGTTGATACGTTTCATGTTAGGTTTTAAGAAAGAGCTCAACCGATGGCTGGGAGGTGGAAGGGGCAAGAGCTGACCGGTACTCTGGGATGTATTCCTGAGACCATCGGTGCCCTTCTGGTTACAGTTTGGGTGATTCAGCGGCACAACGGTGCCAAATATATGTCCAAAGGATGCTAGGAAGGGAAGCGAGCGGAAGGGGCAACTTGGGTGTTCTCAATCCACTTGTTGGAGTAAGAAGGTTAGAATCATGCCATGCTTATGAGGAAATGTATATATATATATATATATAAATACATCTTGTATCCCTTGACTCAACCGTGAAAATACGGAGGCACAAACTTTGAAGTGGATTGAGTGACCAAAAGGGAGGCGGCCTGTGTTGGGTGGGTCAAAACATTATCCTTCGTTAGTTCAACCAGGGGTCGTCCTTCTGTTTTCCGGAAGGCCAATTCTATCCGAGTTTCCCTTTGTGAGGTGATATTCACAGGGAAATGTAGGGAACCAACTTGCAACAGGGGATTTAACCCCATTAACGGGGGTTACGCATAGCTGGCTCTGCCAAGATGAGCGCCAGTAGAAGTGCGCTCGAATCCTGTTCCAAGTCCCAAGCTTGAAGGGGGCAATGGAAGGGACCCCAGGTTTTCTTTTCATGAGAGCCACAGGTAAAACCGAGATACAAATGGGGGTTCCAGCTCCCACTTTTTGCATTTGTGTTTAATTTTTTGTCGCGCCAATTTCGATGCGGAACGTATATTTTTGGGGTCGCCCTGCGCGGCACACTGTTCTGTCCCCTAGCCCGCCTGCATGCCAGAAGTTCCGGCAAAACAGGGTTTCCTGGGGTGTCTTCCTGTTTGGCTCCACTTTTCGGTCAAAGCGGCTGCCGTTCTTTCTCTTTGTTTTGACTTTAGAGGCCTTACGAGCTTTTTCCCAATTGGTCAGACAACTACGTGTCAGCTTGAAGTTGGGGGACCTTGCTCTTTGGTGTGACCTTTTTGACTTGTTCCAGAATAGAATGATTGTTTCCCACCAACTAGCCAGCCCTTTACTTTCTGGCAGGGGATTAGACCAACCCAGGACACTAGCATAGGGATAGCATTTTGGGATTCTTGTCCGAAAACCACCCCAAAAACCCGGGGGAAACGGCTGGTCCGGTTCAGCCAAGAACTCCGCGCGTCGAGGCTGCCGCTGGGAGAGACCACGCTGCCCTCGCTGCTCCAGGGCGAAGGCTACAGGACCCATGCGGTGGGGAAGTGGCACCTGGGCTTCTACCGGAAGGTGCCTCGCTCGCAAAGGGACGGGCTGCACCTGGTCTGTTGGCTCTTTTTGGAGCATCCCAAACTCTTTACGCGGCACGTATGAGCTGATGCCCCTATCTTAATTGGTGAGAAGCATTGAAGTAGAAGCAAGAGCAGTAGAGTTGAAAGTCGCTCTTTTCGTTGGGTCTTCGGTGCTTGGCAAACCGCTGGTTCCTTGGCGATGTTTGGCAACAGGTTGGGTTGCGCTCCCCAAGAACACCTGACGTATGGGCGTGTCGTTTGTTTTGGGGAGCCCCCCCCCAAAAAAACGACACATAATATGGTGGTTTTCGTTTTGGTTTCCCTTGAAACCAACCAAAAAAGGGTGGTAACCCCCAACAAGAAGACGCAGCTGCATAGGGTTCCACATGGCACATGGACTTTGCCCGCCTCCGGAGGAGTACACGCCAACCTTCAGGGGCCCGCACCTCAGGCGACTTCCGAAGTGCAGCCAAAACCAAGGCTGCGGGGTTGGGTTGGGTTACGTTTGGTTCGGTTAGGGTTGGTTAGGTTGGTTTAGGTTAGGTTAGGTTAGGTTTTGTTGGGTTGGTTGGTTGCTTGGTTGGTTCTCCTTGCCTGTCACCCGTTCTTGGAAAGACGAACAAGCTCGAGACCATTTGAGAAGCGCAGTGCATCATCCACTGGTGGGTACTCATGGCGCCTATTTGGAAACCTCAAAGAAACCCACAATTTGTGTATCCTGCTGTTAGGACACTAAATCAAGGTTGGGGCTGTCGAACAATACAGTCTAATTATTTTTCTCCTTCTGGGCTCAAATGACATGGCTTGGCAGTGGCTTGGCAGTCTTTGGCTTGGCCCTACCTTCTGGTTGTCCCCCTCTTGGTTTTGTGAAAAAGGGCTTTCCTGTTTCCCTCCAGACTGTGAACGGCCTGCATTCTGAGCCGTTTGCAAGATAGGCTGTGTCTGAGGGCACCGTTTTTGGCTTGTTGAAAAGGAACATCTAAAGGAACACTTGTGATGTCCAAGCTGGCAAAGGCCAAGTTGTCATGCGTCCAGATTTCTCGCATAGCAGGTCGGTTAATAAGTGCCAGGGTGTTGGCTTGTTTGGCATTGGCTGCGGGTTTGTCGCGCTTGTTTTGTTTGCAATTTGTTAGTTTCCTATGGAGGCCCATCATAGCCACACATTTTGCGTCAAGCTGCTTCGTCGCGCGATTTGGTTTCCTAGTTGCGTGGATGGGCTTGAAAGGCTTGCTGTAGCCTGTGGCAGGCTGTAGTGACTCGGCGGCTCAGACTGGAGCAGGGAACATCCAGCGGATAGGCGAGAACTGGGTTAAGCAGCTCCCTGTGACTGAACGATCAACCAACGACCGGAAACCACCGGAGCCTCGAGGCTTCGAGTCCTGGTACGGCTACTACGGCGGTGGGCAGGAGCCAAATCCGTGCGGCTGGGGTGGCTGCGATGGCTGAAAGCGTGCAGATCAGCAAAAAGTGTGGGGGGGTGGTTTGAGGGTACCCGCTGGCCAACAATCATGGAAGCGGACTGGCGATATATCGGCTTGTACTAGTGCCTCCTTTTGATGGATTGAAAGTGGCAACAAAAAGGAAGCCAACCATTTCAAGGGTTTGTCTCGTTAAAAGGCGACCCTTGTCTGGGTTTGAAGAGGGGCTGTTTCGCAGTCCCTGGTCCCTGTGCCGTGTCAAAGTGACGCCAAGCTGCTTCAAGTTGTGCGGGGCTCGGCCGCATTGTTGAGATGACTCGAAAGAGCTAATGAAGCTCCCTTTCTTGGAGGTCTCTTCATGATTTCTTGCTGGCTGGGACAGAAACATGCTGCACCGCTACACTTGTTGCAGTCTTGGGGAAGCACTCTTCCCCATTGTCGCGCATGGTGTTTCCCACCAGTATCCATGCGCATGTTTGCTTGATCATATTTGGATATGATCTGTTTTTCTATGCATGGTCGCCACTTCAACCACATCGACGCCTGGGTTCTGCAACGAGTAAAGCAGAGTTGCCAGAAAGCGGGACTCCGACATGGAGAGCTAGGATATTTCACACAAGAGGCTGTAAACTGTAAATACCGCCATTCTTTGTGCTCACTTGCTTACATGCAGTCGCTTCAGCAAGCATCATATTTGCAAACGGGTTCTGTGAGATGAGCACATGTACAGCTGTTTGCCGGCAGGAATCCGAATCTTCGGTGGCCTCGCAGTGTGTCTTGAGGATTTTGGCAGCTCACGACGCAGAGAGGTCCCTGGTTTTCTTTAGAGACATCCAGGATCTTGGGGAAGATATATGTATATATATATATACATGCACACACGCGTATAATTATATATATATATATACATATATATATATATATGTTCCCGTCGCTCGTCCCCAGCCCCCCCCCCCCCCCCAATGGTATGGGTCGATCCAGGGGGGGGGACTTGGCCCCCCCCCCTCCCCCCACAGGCGGGGCTTGTGGTACGGCTTGCTCCAGTGTGGTTTGCAGCGCCGCAACCAAGTGCTAACCAAGTGCGCTGCAACGCTCCAGTGGCAAACGCACTTTGCTTGCTACCTATTATAGACCCCAGCGCGCGGTGTGGGAACCATGGTCGCGGGGGGCTTTGCGGTCACACTGTGCTACCATTCTCCCCAACCCCCATTCCCACGGGGGGGCGGGGGGGGTGGGAACCATGGACCCCCCCACCCATCCCACAGGGGGGCGGGGGCCTTGTAGGGTCACACTGTGCTACCTTCTTGGGGGGGGGTGGGGGGGGGGCCAAGGAAGCCTGGAACATATATATATATATGTATACACACAGCAAAACATGTCCCGTCCTCAGTCCCCCTACCCAACAGACACACACACACACACACACACACACACACACACACACACACACACACACACACACACACACACACACACACACACACACACACACACACACACACACACACACACACACAACACACACACACACACACACACACACACACACACACACACACACACACACACACACACACACACACACACACACACACACACACACACACACACACACACACACACACACACACACACACACACACACACACACACACACACACACACACACACACACACACACACACACACACCCACACACACACACACACACACACACACACACACACACACACACACACACACACACACACACACACACACACACACACACACACACACACACACACACACACACACACACACACACACACACACACACACACACACACACACCACACACACACACACACACACACACACACACACACACACACACACACACACACACACACACACACACACACACACACACACACACACACACACACACACACACACACACACACACACACACACACACACACACAACAACACACACACACACACAACACACACACACACACACACACACACACACACACACACACACACACACACACACACACACACACACACACACACAGAGACCCACACACACACACACAGACCACACACACACACACAACACACACACACACACAGACACAGACACAGACACAGACACAGACACAGACACAGACACAGACACAGACACAGACACAGACACAGACACAGACACAGACACAGACACAGACACAGACTCAGACACAGACACAGACACAGACACAGACACAGACACCGACACAGACACAGACACAGACACAGACACAGACACAGACACAGACACAGACACAGACACAGACACAGACACAGACACAGACACAGACACAGACACAGAAACAGACCCAGACACAGACACAGACACAGACACAGACACAGACACAGACACAGACACAGACACAGACACAGACACAGACACAGACACAGACACAGACACAGACACAGACACAGACAAATACACAGACACAGACACAGACACAGACACAGACACAGACACAGACACAGACACAGACACAGACACAGACACA